TGAGGGAAGTATCGGGGTATCTGGGCTCTTGAGCAAAATGTAATATTGAGACCACCACTGTGAGTAATGTGTAATAGACACAGCTAATATCCAGAGGAAATTAAGAGTGATGTTGAGGATTGGAGAAAGACTAGGCTCCTGCTTGATGATATAATCAAGACCGCACTGATAGTATAATGGGTTTAAACTCATTATTTTTAAGCATCTGTTCTTGTTGCAATAATATATAAAAATCAATCCTTGTCCTTTACATTGGTATCATTGGAGCCAGAACATTTTGACCTTAGCATTAAAAAAAATTTAGAAAGTACAGTCAGAAAACTGAAGGAGTAAACTGACTTTACTATTGGGATGTGTTAAGTTTGAAAACACAGGACTGATTTAAGAAGGGCCAACTTTGAGAAGCTGCGCAACCTAGTGGGGGAAATAAAATGGGAAAACTTATTTCAAAACCTAAACACAGACCAGATGTGGGATTGTTTTAAAAACACAGTACATACTGCTACTTCAAAGTGTATACCTTTAGGGAGCAAAAATAAAAGATCAAAGACTAAACCAATATGGTTTAATAAAACTGTAAAACAACACGTCAAGGACAAGAGAGCGACATTTATAAAATATAAGACGGAAGGGACGGCATTGGCGTTCCTTAACTACAAAGAATGTAACAAAAAATGCAAACTAGAAATCCGGGCAGCTAAAACTGAGTGCGAAAAGCATATCGCCGCAGATAGTAAAAAGAACCCCAAAACATTTTACCAATATATTAACAGTAAAAAGGTGAGAAAGGAGCAGATAGGCCCAATAAAGGATGGAAGCGGGAAGCTAGTCACAAACGACAAGGAGAGGGCCGAGGCGCTGAACGCTTTTTTCTCCTCAGTATACACTCAGACGATTTCTTAAGGGACCGTAATATACAGGGGTACGGGTACTCCTAGAATGAGATCCTAATAGGTTGGACTTGATGGACTAATGTCTTTATTCAACCTCAAATACTATGTAACTATGTAACTATGTAAAAATAGTATTGGCCAGTTGTCAGTTTACTGTAGTTAGATCAGTGATGTGTGAAAATGTTTTGATTGTTGAGGTCCAGCAGGGCTGAAACATGTAAACAGGTGTTGCTTTTATGGCCCTTTTTTGGGGCCTTCTTGCTGTATGGGGCAACACACCCCATGTGAATGAGGCTTAAGTGAGCTATTTTGTCCATCTTGTCCTAAGCTATACACAGGTCTTCCAAACAGTGCAGCACTTTCTGGCAGTAGAGGGGAGCTGATCTTTCCCTGCTGCAGTTTCCCTTTCACTTACAGGACTCTTCCTTCAACCTGTAATTGGACAGGAAAATGAGAAGAACCACACTGATGAGCTCATCTCTTTCACACTCTGTTCTTTCATTGTATGAGCATGCTCCTTGTATCGCAGTACAACTGACTGACTCTTTTTGCTGCTCCTTCCTCCCTTAATCTGAGCTCTCCTGTACAATAGACTGCAAGAGGTTTGATACCAAGCCAAATCCAGGTACACTGCTTGCATTGACTCGGGTTGGCTCTGACTCTGTACCATGGAGGATTCAACGTTGCCTGCTCTCACTTGGGACTGCAGTTAAGAAATAGAGCTTGGTAACCAACCAAGCTTGGTAATGATAATGATAATGAAGACGTATTAGCACATAATGCGATATTCATACTTTCCATCCTAGTGATTCTGCTCATACTGTTGACTGACAGAATTGTATGAAGCAAGAGAGCCCAGATTGGCTGATACTGTTGAAACTCCCTATCCACGTCTGAGTGGTGCTGTATAGCTATGCTTATGTTCCCTATTGAAAAACAATATACTTTTTGCTTGAACTCTGTGCTTAAAGGAGAACTATGCGATGAGTGATTTCCACTCACCTCATAGTTCTAGCCGACCTGTGACAATGAGACTGTCACAGGTTGGCTCAGTAGATTGGGAGGTGAGCGAACACATACCAGGTTCGCTCACCTCTCGATCCTGTCACGGCTTTCTGCCATGACAGGGGGAGGGCTGGATTCCCCTCTCCCCGCTCCGATCTGCCAGCACTGACTGGTGGAACGGACTGGGGAGGGGACGGGTACAGCTGGCTCTGCCTCTAGATAGGCAGAGCCAGCTGTCACTCACGCAGCTTGGCGGATCCCGTCATCTACGTCGGGATCCGCTCCGGATGCGGCGTCTCATTATACCGCGAGCGGTAGCTCGCGGTATACTGAGCTTAGGGTAACGGGAGGACGCTAGTTTGTGTCCTCCCGTTACCCTAAGGAGAACTATAGGGAAAAACACTGACCCCATAGTTCTCCTTTAAGGGCTCTTAAGAAAATATTGTACAAACAGTGTCAGTACCAATTCAGAGATGATTTGAAGATCTACAGCTGAGTGAGACACAAATAAGATAAATTTTTGTTAATTGGGTACTTGAATGTATTTTTAAGATTTAACTCCTGAGTTTAGTGTCACTTTAACATAACCCACTCTGTAGGTACAATATACTGTAGTCTTTTATAGCCACAAGGTATTTTGTACCTTATGGAATCCTTCATGGTGGAGGGTCTTGATTTATTAACAGTACATATCTATTTCCAGACAATGCTTATAAGAAATCTTTTGATACTAACAGTATATTAATGTTTAACATTTTGTATAAATAAACTTCTTGTTGAATCTATTATGAAGATATTGAGAATGTGATTTGCTGCAAATTACATTTAACTTGCTAATGTGTGCCTGTTCTTTCCCAAACTGTTTTATCATATGTGAATAGTTATAAGAAGAGGTGACGTGTAAGTGAGTAAAATCTTTGGGGATTCCCATAACAAATCACACCTGCAGAAACTGTAACTCACACCACCAGAGTCAGCTTTCACATGTGACCTAGCTAGATTATACTGTATTTAGGGCAATATCAGATGGGTACTTTGAGCTCTAGGTTTTGGAAGTTTGCTGTTTTCACATTTCAATAGTTTTTACTGTTGGGTTGTGTGGTTCTATCACATAGCTGTGTAGGAGTGTATTATACTGCCTAAATAGTACTACTGAGTTTCACATTTGTTTTAGTAGCTTAGACTTTGTCCACTTGCTACAAAATGAAAACTCTGAGTACTGCCTGCAGTTTTAGTATAAATGGGGGATCACCTTTTCCTTAAAGGAACCCTTTGTTTAGTGAAACCACTAGCAAGTATGAATCATCTTACAAACAAATTACTAGTGCATTATCAGTGAACAAAGCTAACACCCAGCCTTTTCCCAAAGATCCAGTTACTTGGTTGCTGCCATCTTGCCCCTCATACAGTATAGGGAAGATGAAGGTGTTAGCCACAGCCTACACACCATCCTCTAACCTATCCTGAAGGTTTTGTTTCCCTTTATCTTGCGGAGCCAGATATACGCACATTAGCTCCCTATTAGGTCCCTCACCGCCAACATGGATTAGTCATGCTTATCACTTTGAGCATTGGGGAACAAATTATTGCCACATATGGTAGTGGCAAATGGCAAATAATTTGTTTTAAGGTTCCATTATTTTTTTATGCAAATATTGACTTTGCTGGGAACTTCAAGCTCTAGACTGAGACTGTGTTCAATGAATTGCTCTATGCTCAATAATACCACACAGGAGGTGATGTAGAGGCATGTCAGAGTTCAAAAGTCTGTGCAAATTCAAGATTTGCATTCTAGATAACCCCAGTTTAAAGGGCACAAAATGGAGTTCTTACTGTCATCCTACTATAGCAGGAAAAAAAGCAGTGATGCCTAGAATTTAAAGGGAGAATATACAGGGTTATTCACAAAAGGGTGAAGAGTTTGGAGAAGGTAGGAGAAGTGAGCAATCTAGGACAACATAGCTGATTTGGAAAAAGTCTACAGTTCTGATCACTTTCCAGTTCAGCTATGTTGTCCTAGATTGTTCACTTCTCCTGCCTTCTCCAAACTCTTCACCCTTTTGTGAATAACCCTAATAGTCTTTATCACGGCACTCTGTATGATATTATGTATGAAGTAAAAATGTGTATTTGAATAGTTTGAAGTAATATATTTACATGAAAGCAGCCATGCAGGCTATGCTTCCTGTGCACCTCTTTTTTGTTGCATAGATCAGATCTGTCTCTGAGCAAATATTCTGTCTCTGCATTTGTTAATTAGGAAGGTTTACTAATTTCATGCAATACAGATTATTGCTAGAGGGAGAATGTACAAATCTATTTATCAATCAGTCAAAACAGTTCTTCCATTAAAATAATCTGAATCTATAATCGTATAACTATTTTTGCATCTTTTTATCACTCAGTCGGTCACAAAAAACATTTTTTTAAAAATAAAAATGTAATTAGTATATAATCTGCTTATAATTTGGCAGTCTGATTTACTGACATCGGAGGATGCACCGATGCACCGATACTAGTATCGGTGCCGATACAGAGCACTTGGGCGAGATACCGGAACTTTCGGTATCAGAAAGCCAGGCGGCGAGTCATTACATGCTGCCCGGCTTCATGATTAGCCCAGAAGTTGGCTCCATGCTCCCTCGTCACCAGGCAGCATGGAGCCGGCTTCCTGGCCAATCAGGAAGCCAGGTGGCAAGTCATTACGCACCCCCCGGATCCCTGATTGCCCAGAAAGCTGGCTCCATGTTCCCATGTCACCTGGTGACAAGGAGCATGGAGATGGTTTCCCTGCTAATCAGGGAAGTATAACACAGCGCCCGGGCTTCCTTAATGGAACTTCCGGCATCTGTGTTTGGTATCGGAGAGTGGCAATGTGATTGAGTAACTCATATAATAATAGATCTATCTATCTATCTCTCTATCCATCTGTCTGGCTTACAGTATAATTAAGCAAACTCTCAGAAATGCTTTGTGTATATTATGTGACATTTAGCCCAAACCTTATTTGCTGTGGCCTGTTGCTGTTATAACATAACATACATGTTATAGAAATATAGTACATACATATTACAATAATTATAATGTGTTTTTTTTTTTCAGGTGGAGACTATACCACTGGGGACTCAAACAGTATATTCTACAGTACCTGAAGATGCTGAACAAAAAGCTAAGCACTTATTGGTCAAAGAGGTAAATAATATAGACTCTGGGGAAATAAGACTGTGATGAGTTTTTGTACATCAGTATGTATCTGTGTGAGTAAGAACAGGAGGAATAGTGAGTCTGTGAAATGGTTTTCCGGTTGGGGTAAAAGCTGAGTATATTAGCATTGGGTAACGTGTGTTGTTCATACCGTTTTAAAGATTAAACAGTCTATTAACTGGATTATTTTCAAGGAACTGCAGTGGCGTGTCCAGTCAACCAGCATGTGTTTTTAATTTCTGGTTCAAATGATCTTGTGTGCATCCCAGCACAACTTTTATTATAGAAAAAAATTATCAGGTGATACATTGTACACCAGCCTGTAGTTTTTTTTCATTAGAGATGAGAAGTCTGAGTTTACACATAAACAATTTGAATGTTAGCCAATATTGCTAAAATAACAACTGTTTATGGACAATTATTTGTCTATGGATACCCTGTACTGCCTTGCAAACTGACACTTTAACCTTTAATTTATGAAAACTGAATACTTTCACTCTCTTAGTCCCTGTACATCAGTCTACTGCACAGTCTGGCTACGCAGATTAAACCTCAATTTGTTTACCTGATGAGGTATTGTTGAGTATAGGCAAAGTGTTTTAGTGTATACATGTGTGGTCAAGTGTGGCTGGCTTCCGTATGGTCAATGTGGGCCCCTACATTTCATGTACAGATGGATGTGGTACAGTAGCTGGAACACAGATGCGCTGCATCATCTAGTCTTATTAGTAGTTTGGCTGCATTGGATGGCCGTAGGATAATGTTAGGACTGGTGTGAGCCTTGTAAAATACTGAAACACTATCTTGTAAGGAGGACTAACATGTTGCAGGGTAATGAAGTTCAGCAATGGATAGCAACTGGACACTACTGGGAAATTCATTGTGGCCATGTAGTTATAAAACTTTTTGTCTGCTGCATTTAAGAGGTGCACATGGGGTCTTAGTTAAATTTAAAGTGCAAGTGGCCTCTAAAGTGCAAAAGACCCCAAGTTAAGTCAATAAAATGAATGGCTATACACCCCACAGATTATGTGAGTCAGGGGGTGATACAGGCAAGTGTCCCAGTATAAGGAAATTATAGATGTCCCAGCTGATGTGAGTGAGAAATGTCATGCCAGATGTGAGCAAGAAAGCGTGATGTAAGCAAGATATGTTGTAAGCAAAATGTAAGCAAGATACGTTCTAGCAGATATGATCTAGAAATGCCACAGTAAAGGAGATTTAGGCCTCATTCACACTGCCGTGCGTACGTGCGTACTAGGGCTGCAACAACGAATCGACATAATCGATTATAATCGATTATTGAAAAAGTTGTCAACTTTTCCAATAATCGATTAATCGGCTTCCGATCAGCTGGCCCTGTTTACAGCTCCACACGCTGTGCGCTGCACCTTCTCCCCACCTCACGCTCGCCACTGCCAGACCCGCTCGCATCCACGCTCCACACGCCGCACCTCCTCCCCGCCTCACATTTCCTGCCCATCCACATCCATGATCGGCACAGGGACGCGGGGAGAAGTAGTAAGGAGGAGCAGGTGTGGGGGGATGACAGCTGCTGATAGACAGGTCCGATCGCAGAAGCACGTTGCTGGAAGACTGCTCAGGTAAGCCTACACCCCCCCCCCCACATGGTGCTCTATAAATGTATTGCTGGGATTTGTCGTCCTCTATAGCTGATGGTACATTCTGCTGTACTGTATATTATACAGAGCATGAACCTGTACCATCAGCTATAGAGGAATACAAATCCCAGCAATACATTGTACGCTGTATGTATAATGTATTGCTGGGATTTGTTGTACTCCTCTATAGCTGGTGATATTCTGCATTGCGCTGTATAGAGGACTACAAGTCCCAGCAATAATACATTATACAGCGCAATGCAGAATACCACCAACTATTATGTACTATTGCTGGGATTTGTTGTATTCCTCTATAGCCGTTGCCATTCTGCATGTATTGCTGTATAATTTTACACTTTCCATTTCACTATATTGCACACCACACTATCTTTTTTACTTCCACCGCTCCAAGCTTGCTCCTGTGATGGACTACAACCTCAATACAAACTAGTAGTCCTATCACTGGAGCCATTTTTTAAACTTTATTTTATAGTTTATCCGATTAACCGATTAATCGAACTTAATAATCGGCTAACTAATCGATTTTGAAAATAATCGTTAGCTGCAGCTCTAGTGCGTACGTGCGTATTGTACCATATGCAACATATGCAAATAAATGGCTCCATACACACAGCCACGTATGGAGCCGTATATATGCATAGCGTATATATGCGCAAAAACAGAATGGAACAGAGATGAGTCCCGGCAGCGTATTTCTGCGTGTTTACGCGCACATACGCCTCGAACATGCGTACAGCACATTAAAAATTCCATTGCGAGTGATGCATTCTGGGATTGCATATAGTGCACGTGCTTGCGTTGTGTGTGAATGATGCCGTAAGCAAGATATGTTCCAGCAGATATGAGCTAGAGATGCCGCAGTAGCTGTGACTTGGAGAGTCATATTAGCTATGGTCCAGAAAGCCAATCATTGACTAAGAATCCTTAATAAATATGAAAGTGTAAGGAAGCGTTAATAGTTTCTGCTTAATGCTGAATAAATAGACTCTAGAATTAAAGGTGGAGCTACAGGTCAAACAGTATAAATTGGCAACTATGATGCCTCTGGAGTTCGTAGTGCTCAGTTGACATTTTTTAGAAGGTGGACCTTTTTGAGGAAAGTAAATGAGATCCTGTCAAGCACCTGATGAGTGGGTGCTGATGAGTGTCCAGAATTTGGATACTTAGTGGAGAAATTGAGGAGCACTGGACTGCTTGTTGTCTTGTGGTTAGTAATAAGTGGCATGTGGAGATTTGTAAGCAGCTCTTTTAGCTCCAGGGACCCTTTATGGTGGTCCCTGTGGAATTGTGGAAAGAAATTAGAAGATAAAGGTGCCACTCCACTGGTAAAAGTCCAGAATAGGCTCTATTTGTGTTAATCAAGATGTGTCAACGTGTTTTGAGGGATACAGGTAGCTGTCTTCAATACATCTGAAATAATATTCCAATTTATTTAATAGAATGTTGGATGTCAGGAATGATATGGGTGTCAAAATAAATAGAACTATGAGTGGGTACTGCAACCTTCAAGGTCACCATATCCCACATTATAAACATAAAGAGAATTATTTTGTGTTGACACAAAAACTGGATTTTTAGGTACCTACAGATACACAATGCTGAATAAAAAACAATAATTTATTCAAAACATATTACAATTGGTGATGGACTCCTGTGTTCGGTTCGTATTCGAACACCCGAACGGCCGAAAAGTTTGAATACAAACTCGAACCTAATGCAAGCCAATGGGGGTCGAACTTTCTAAAATGATTGTCCCCTTTAAGAGGGCTTATATGCAAGTTATTGGCCATAAAAGGTGTATGGGGGTCCGGGTACTGCCCTGGGTGGACAGTAATCAATGGAAAAAAAAAAAAAACGTTTTTAAAGGAGCAGTGATTTTAACATGACTTAAAGGGCAAGAATACAAATGAAAAATGCCTTCAAATATCGTGCCTGGGGGGGCCCCCATTAACCTGCCTGTAAAGTGGCAGATCTGTAGGATGTATAGAACCAGCTGCAGCAAAACTGACATTTCTAAAAATGTGCAGTTCCCCCTCCCAAACAATACCAGACTCTTTAGGTCTGGTAGGAATGTTAGGAGGGACCATTTAAAAAAAAAAAGCGTAGGGTTCCTCCTAAAAGTCATACCAGACCCTTAAGGTCTGGTAGGAATATTTAGGAGGGACCCCAGGTAAAAAATGTGTTTGGGGTTCCCTCTCAAAGTCATACCAGGCCCTTATGGTCTGGTAGGAATTTTTAAGGAGGAACCCTACACCCAAAAATGGGGGGGGGGGAAACGTGGGGTCCCCCCCTAAAATTCCATACCAGACCCTTGATCCGAGCATAGGCCTGAAAGCAGGGCTGGAAAGGGGGGGGACGAGCGAGTCCCCTCCCTTCCACACCAGGCCACATGCCCTCGGCACTGGGAGGGTGTCCTCGTGCCGATGGGGACAAGGACCTCGTCCCCACAACCCTGACCCGATGGTTGTGGGGTTCTGTGGGCAAGGGGGCTTAATTAAGGGGGCACCCAGATGCCGCCCCCCTCCCTTGTACCCCTACCGATTCACCAAAGGGTTAAATCAAATAGTTATTAAAAAGTCCAGAGTTTTGATAAAATCCTTTAAATGAAAAAAAAACCAAAAGACATGTTTTTGACAAGTCTTTTATTTAAAAAAAATAAAAAATTGATCCACCGACGTAATCCATGGTCAATCACGGCGTACAGCATTGTCCATGACGATGACAAAATAAAACAATAACAAATAAATAGAAATAATTTTTTTTTTAAATGCCGGCCGCCGTTCCATTCGCTCCCCGCCTACTCCCGCCACATAATGGCATTTTGACAGATGCCAGCTCCGCCCAATTGTGTAGTTTGCCGGCATCTGATAGGCTAGGCATGATTAGGCAGAGTCATCATGACTTGGCCCAATCATGGCTCCAAATGAGTACTTCCCATAAAGTTCGGCGAACACTCGAACAGCCGATGTTCGATTCGAACTCGTGTTCGAATCGAACCGGCGGACCATCCCTAATTACAATCACTAAATGAATCGGTGGTTACCAGGCATGTCACGGCTTAGGTCCCTGGCTACCATATAGGTTAATCATGATGTAATCTGCTCTCCAATAGATGGCAATGCTGAGTGAAAGAGATGTCATAGCAGATGTTAGAGTTAGATGTCACAGAAGACCTGTTGCCTGTAACTAAGCTTCCAGCTGTCATTTCTCTAAAGAAAGTTATAAATTAAACTTTGATCTGTGGGCAACTGGACAGATGTTTTCCTTTTTTAACTAGAACCAATACCTTTGGTTTACTGTAGCTTTTAGATGTCATCCATGTGTTCCTGCTATTGTGCATCCATTTTGACCCAAAGCTGACTTTCAGGCAGGTATAAAAAGCCTTTATTTTATTCAGTTATGCATTTAAAAATTCATACAGCTGACTAAAGCACTTGGATCACTAATTACCATTTTCAGACTGATATTGTGTGGAGCAGTATGTATGCCAGTTAGGCACTTCTGCAATGCACATATGCTTTTCATCTCAGATTGGGAGCTGCTTGAGAGAAGGAGAGAGCAGAGAAATTATTTATTTAGTGTGCTGGTGCTGTCTTTCTGTCCATTTGTGTGCTAAGTGAATGCTGGACTAGTTTTTAATGCTTACGGTTTGCTCACACTTGGTAATCCATAGCATGCCCAAGTACGTATGACCCCCAGAGTCAGCCATGTTCTAGCCTGTTTGAAAGAGGTGGCCTCAAGCAGGGTTTAGTTGGCACAATAGGCATTAGTGTGATCACAAACCATGCTGAGCACAGAAGTTGAACGCCAGAGCCGATTAGATGCATGTGTGCCAACTCGGGTGGTAAGGGTACAGATGACATAAGCATGTCCAGGCCCAGCACAATGTATGTGTAGGCCAGCAGGGGAGTGAATGAGGGAGAGCAATAATGCTTGGGAACAGTGCAGCACAGTAGAGAGGTCTAACAGTGTACAGAGTGCCTTCTGCCAGTGACATCTCAATTATAAGATTGAGCAGAAATACTAATCTTTTGCAAGGTAATTTAGCACACATACTTTGATTTCAATTGTGTACTGTATCTAGCTTTTTGCTTGTTGTTTTATCTTTAAGTAACTTGCACACAGTACATTTAATTTTAAGTTTTCCAAAGTATTTAATTGTACAGTAGACTCCCAGCTATCCAGCACCCATAGGGACCGGTAGGTGCTGGATAGCTGTAGTTTTTGGTTCTGGTTCTTGTCAGCACACCCCTTCTTAGCACATGACCACTACAGCATACCTGACTGGCTCCTTATGTTAATTCTTCCACTCCCAATGTGAGTTCTGCTGCAGTGCATTGCAGTGGATTGCAAGAGGCTAATACCAAATTAAATGCATGCATTTTCTTTGGAGTATTTAAAAAATAAATGTAATAATGTATTAATTGATAAAGAACAGCAACAGTTTGGGTCTTTTATATCTGCCAGGAGTTTAGCCCATATAGTGAGTATTCAGAGCAGACTCCAGTAACCCTGACAGCCACTAAATATTCCTCATTTAGTGAACTGGCCACAAAAAAAGTAAAATCAGATTGACTTCTATGCGTTATTGCACTGTGGACATCATCATGGCTTTCATAACTCTCCCTGCTTTACTGAACATTCAATAAATAGGGCAGGACTAAATGTGGTAAGACTAGACTGAGAAAAGAGCTGTGGCTTGTTATTGTGGGCAAGCCATATAAATGTGTGTACATCAACAACATGAATATTGCCACACATTTATATTGGATAAAAGCAATCTGCCTAAAATGTCCTCAATTTCATTTAGCAGAAGATTACAAAATCAATGTTATTAAATTAAGCTGCATAGCCAGTGCAGACAAAGATCTGCTTCACCTGTTCTTGTGGAAAGATGCTTTTTAAAGCATTATCTAATGCTGTTTGACCATAACAATATCCATGCTGTTACTTGGAATTGCATTAATGGTTATCTTGTTCTCAGTGCTGATGCTGTCAGCCATGCTATGATTAGATTAGTGTTTCTGACATAGGAATGAGTGATATGGTCTGTAATAAAAATGTTAAAAAAAACTTTTGGAAACTGTAAGGTTTTCCATTGTCAGTATGCAAGTAGAAAAGCTACCTACATGCTCAGATTGGTACTATAAAGCCCAATTGAACTTCAATCAGTTAAGTACATCCCAGGTGCATTAAAAAAAGGTGTACAAAGTATTGCAGTTTGTTTTCTACAGGAAGCAGTTAGATTTTTAACACCTGTCCTCTGCCAGCACATTACATAGAAGAACCCTTGTGCTTTATAAGGACTCAGTTGTCCTTTTGCAAAGCTCATGCTCCCTGCTGATTGAAGATCTCGGACTCAGTAGAGTGTGTGTCGGACCTCTGCAGGAAGACCTCACAAAGAGCAAGGGTTTTTTTCTACAGCATGCCGGCAATTATAAGGCTTTTCTATTTAGGATGTGGCTGTCTTCTAAAGAATACAAACTGTAAGACTTAGCACCCATTGGGCCTGATCAACTATCAGTGGTGCAACATTAAAATAGCGCAGATTGCAACATTTATACTAGTTTGGCAAATAAACAATGATTCTAATGCATGTTAAGCGCTGTGCAAACTATTGGCGCTATACTGTATACATCCTGTATAATAATAATAATGTTCCTGTGGGATGCAACATGTGCATCAGAAATGGGAAAATCCCTATTTGCAACATGTCTCATGAATGTGAGTAGGTGCATTAGTGCCCCAAGCAGTAGGCCACCAAATAAACTTCTTATAAACTATGACCATTATAGATAATTTGTCGCAATTTTCAACTTTTTTGCAAGTTTTGCAGATCATTTTCCTGTTGGAGTGTCTCACTCTGGCCACTGGTAGTTTACCTGACCTAATTTGTTTTGATTCACCTGAAAAATGTTTTGATGATTGAAACTAAGTGGTCTATTCACAAAGCTGCCGAAGGATCTAGCCGTAGCTTCGGCCGATCCTTCGGCTAGCTTCGGCCCTAGGACCCGTTCGGTTCAGTAGAACCGAAGGGGTGCTGTACAGGCTATCCACTATAGCCCTACAGCTCCCGAACCTGGCCGAGCGGCTCAGTCCAGCCGAACGCATATGCATCGGCTCGGCTGAGCCGTGCTGAAAGCCGAAGCTGGCCGGGCGGCCGGCCATTTGCCGGCCGACAGCCTGCTTCTGACAGCTGGGCGGAGCCAGCCGTGATCTTACGTCTGAAAAACACACTGAAAGCCCATTTTAAACTAAAAAAAACGCCCCGGAACGCATCAAGAACGCAGCAAAAACGCAGCACAACCCACTGCACTGTGTGTGCAGAAACTCATGCAGATCTGGTCTGCATTTGGTGTGATCAAGCCCTGGAGACTCATCAAAGTTCTATTTGAATTTGGCGTTTGGTGGGCAGCTATGTGTATTTAGGAAAATGCTTTTTCTCAGGAGTTAAAAATATGGGGATACGCATTGATTGTTCTTGTAGATAGGCATTAATCAATAAACTTTGATTGAATTACTAACATCTTAATTTAGTCATTTTGAATTGGATATATGGATATTGATGCAATATTTTGATCTTGTGTGTAAACAGAGCATTTAAAAATAACTGGTGAGAGAATACAAGTTATTGAGCATATGGAAATTCCAATACGTCATGTTTCCAAAGCATTTTATAGACAGAGAGTAGTTTTGCTTCTTGTCACCATAACAAAATACATATACAATATATTTAAAGAATAAGGGATATAAAAATATTAGCAATAATCTCAGTGATTGCAGAGTCAGCCTCTTCAAACACTTGGTTGTCTAGAAAGGAAAAATCTTGAGAACTTAACCTCTTGCCATCCGCCCGTTAAGAAAAAAACGGACGGACGGCTGACTCCTATCTGCGGGTTGCCGTCGTGCAGGAAGGAAAGGGCAGGAAAGACCCGCTTGTTACTACAGCCGTTAACGGCTGTTTCACATACAACCTATCAGCGGCTCTATAGCCGCTGATCGGTTGTATGGCGTGAATTTTGGAGCCCCCCCCCGCGCGAAGTCAAAATGCTTTTAAGCTATTTTAAATGCTGATGAAATCACTTACAATGGATGTTGCTTCTTGATGTTTAAAAGTTTTAGTGTCATGCAGAATCAGTTGGTCTTCTGAGCACTTGCCATGATATCCTGTTTAAGTGTAGATCCTTTCCCTTCCTATGGAGCTACTCTTGTGTGTGCTAGTTAGCTGTGTGTGTCTCTACAAACTCATAGGCACAGCAAGGCAAGCCATTCTCCTGCTCCCCGCTTCTCTCTTCTCCTTCCTTTCTCCTCCCTGCTCCAAGCAAGTAAATGGATAGTTGCTGGAGACAGCACTCTCTTATACTTGGCAGGAAGTTTAGGAAAGCTAGGCTGACATGATGACTGTAAGTGTCTGGGCAAATGTATAGTTGTTTGATTGAGATTAATTATTGAAAAACGTTTAAGAGTTTAATACTTCTTTAAGATTTAGAGACCATGGCCTTGTCCTTCCACTTATTCTTCTCGTCCTTCTCTGCTGAGCATTGGCTTCCTTCACTCCTGGCTGGATGTTCCAGCTATTCCATTTGCTCAACCCTTTTTTCTCCTATTACATCACCTGTCTGTACTTTGTTGTATTTTTTTCTTATTAGCCACAGTTGGCCTTAGCAGAAAAAAAAGAATTATTGAATAGTTTTGGTGTCATGGCTGTATTTATTCTAACTATATTATGTGTTTTTCTTTTTTTCTCTAGGCCTGTAGATATTATAATTCCCACTGGCACGTGGTGAATTACAAGTATGAACAGTACTCAGGAGACGCTCGACAGTTGCATCTGTAAGAGTGTCCTATAGGCCTATATTTAGCTAATATATATATCTTATGTGTATTTATAGCTACTCTTAACAAAATGTGCGTGGTGGTTAAAGACCACCTCCATCCAAAATGATATTTCAGTTTGCATTGTTGCTGAAAAGGTAAATCTCATGTCGCCTTCTTATAACTCTCAGGGACTTGCATAGTCTGATATCTGCCCCCAAAATTTCCAGTTCTTTCTGAATACTGCATTACAGTGAATGATGTCAGTCTTCTCCGGTAGATTCTCCATAACAAAGAATACATAATAACTGGAGGATCCAATTTTGAGAGAGACACATCTTTGTAATGACTTTGCAAGAGTGGACAGAGATACAAATGGTTGGGGGAAATCCCATTATTGATATATATTTGTAACTCCTGGGATTACTAAAGTACTTAAGTGGCCTGAGTGCTGCACCCCAAATATCAATTACAAAAAAAACAGTTGCACATTGGCTGGGGTTTTTTTGCACTCTAGCACAGGTAATACAATTCTAAAAACATTGGTTTATTGTCTTACACATTACAAAGTATACATATATAGTTAAAATATATCCTGCACCATCTTCTACAGTACCTCCGATAGCCACAATTTCAAGTCAGTTATATAGAAAGGTTACATAAAGGCATAAAAACAGTTCAATTTCATTCATAATGCCTTAAATAAGCTTGTAGTGGCATGTTTATCATTCCAATGCATTTCACAGAGTGCTTCATCAAAGGATAGGAGGTATGAAACTGTATGTACATAAAATGTAAGAAACATATTATAATTACCAAATTCATATATACAGACTTCATATAAAAATGTACTATCCATCCGATGTATTTTGTACTCAATCCATGGCGTCTACAGTAACCAGTGTTCACCCAGTATAACGGAGACCCTTCCCCCAACACAGGAACCAGGTGCGGCCGCAGGGGAGCATATGGCAAGGGAACCAGCAGCCTAAAAAGATATATTGTATCTGATATAATGCCCCAGCCTATTTGCAACTGTTTCTTTTGTAAAAATATTAATTATTAATGCTAATTCAATCTTTTTAAGTCTACCAAAAACTGAAATATAAGTTTTGGGTATAGTTGATTTTTAATGCTATTGGAATTCTGCGTCTGTGCAAAGACATGTGATAGATTCTCTTGATAGGCCACCCCTCTCCAGCTGATACAGTACCTTCTCCATACTCTATAAAAATAAAAAATTTAAAAATTAAAAGTCAAATATTGGGTGATAAATGAGGCCACCTTTGTAAAGTTTCTCTTGTAGCTTCTCCCCATTTAAAGCAAGGCATCAGGCCAGGTTTAGGAGGGAAAGAAAAACCCAAACATCTTTACAAATTGTCAAAATCTATCTAAAAGTAATTGCACTGCTCTAAATTTCATCTTTATGTTTTGGTGAATTAGAAAACATGGAAAAAACTATGCAAATTTTCACCACTCTACTTTATAAATTGGGATACAGAAGAAAAATCAGGGAACTATTATTATTATTATCATTATTATTATTATTATTATCACCGTATATAGGATTTATATAGCGCCAACAGTTTGTGCAGCGCTTTACTATATAAGGAAGGCATTACATTCACAATAGGGCTTACAATCTAAAAGGAAGGGGCAAGTGATACATGAAGTGGTAGCTATGAACTAGTGATAGCAAATCAGTGTTGCACTTTTCTAAATAAGTCCAGCAAGATGAAATTATGTTATAGTGCAAAGCTATTGTAGAGTAAAACTAAATATAATGACAACTGCTCCAATAATACTGGTAAGATATTTTCCCCCTCTATCTGCACAGAAATGACCCCAAGAGCGAAAAGCTTCCCTCTCATTCATTTGAAATTGACCATGAAGAAGCCGACAAGGATGAAGTAAGCCACGTGGATTTTCTTTACGCATAACTGAAAACACAGAATCATATTCTAAATGCTTGTTTGAACAATGAACTTACTTCATTAGTCTCTGACAGACCAATGTAGTGCGAGTATGCATTGTTTCAGAGTTCCATGAAAAATGCATTCTGTTGTTATTTTATTCAGGATACAACGTCTCTCTCGTCTTCTAAAGGAGGTGGTGGCGGAGGAGGAGGATCAGGAGTTTTTAAATCGGGCTGGCTGTATAAAGGGAATTTTAATAGCACTGTGAACAATAGCATTACTGTACGAGTAAGTAGACAACATTACTATGTCTTTGTAGAAGTAGAGCTGACATCCTCCTCAGTTTGAACACAGTTGTATATTATCTGGATTGCCTGTGTGGTCATGTGATTATTCTGAGTTTGTAAGTCTGTTTGAAACATCTTTTACTAAGCCAACAGTAATCATTCATTTCTCTCATTCTTTCAGTCCTTCAAAAAACGTTTCTTTCAGCTGACTCAGCTGTCAGATAACTCTTATATTATGAATTTTTACAAAGATGAAAAAATATCTAAGGAACCAAAAGGATGTATATTTTTAGACTCTTGCACGGGAGTTATTCAGGTATGCATTAATTAATTTTATACATACAGACGTGGACACATTTGTTGGTACCTTACAGCTCGTTAAAACAATGCTTAATTCCTTTGGAAAAGTGTATTGTATTCCTGCATGCCTTTGGTATGTCATAGAGTAAAGCAAATGGTGTGGAAAGTGATACAATATTGCTTTTTTCTGCAAATAAATTCTGAAATGGCCTGGACAGATTTTTTGGTAAGTGTAGAAAATGTTTTAAATATTTGAACCATAGTAATAATTCAAACTAACTGTTTTCTGTAATTCGCATTATGTATGTCTTCAGTCTTGTAAACAGTCAGACAATTTAAATGGAGAAAGTATCATCATATGCTCCACACTGAATATATACCATAAAAAACAAAGGAGAGAGTTGTTTATGGAGATCAGAAAGAAAATTATAGAACAGCATGTCAAAGGTAAACACTATGGGGTCTATTCACTAAGCTGCCATAGGCAGCCGAGACATTTTCTCATTGAAAAGCATTGGTACATTACTATTGGCTATTTCAATTTGCATGCTCCAATAGTAAACTAGCATTATACCCGCCCTCTGCTGATGGACCTGATGGGGAACTGCAGCAGAGGGCGGGTACAATGCCAGTTTAATATTGGCTATTGCAAATTTCTTTTCAATGGGAATTTTAAATTTTTTTCTATTCTGACATCGCTCGTGTCAGAATAAAGAAAAAAAAGACACAGCAGTGTTTCTCTCCTTGGCGGCCGGGAGCAGGAGACTCCCGGGGCGCCAGGGAGAGTTAGCTGTTTGGAGATCAGTTTCCCTGGTTAGCAGGTAACCAACAATGCTGATCTATCTGCAAGTGGCCGGAGCCAGCCGTAAGATCACGGATGGCTCCGCCCAGCTGTCAGAAGCAGGCTGTCGGCCGGCCAATTCGGCTGTCGGCCGGCCAGCTTCGGCTTTCAGCACGGCTCAGCCGAGCCAATGCATATGCGTTCAGCTCGACTGAGCCGCTCGGCCATGTTCGAGAGCTGTACGGGCTATAGTGAATAGCCCGTACAGCACCCCTTCGGTTCTACTGAACCGAAGGGGTGCTAGGGCCAAAGCTAGCCAAAGGATCGGCCGAAGCTATGGCCAGATCCTTCGGCAGCTTCGTGAATAGACCCCTATAAGACCATCTTTAAGCAGCTTGATAGTCCTGTGACTACATTTGCAAATATTATAATGTTTAAGTTCCAAGGAAATGTTGCCAATCTTCCTGGGTTTGACCACAAGAGGATAATTGATGTCAAATTGAACAGAAGGATAGTACGAATGGTAGGCAAAAAGCCAAAGAAAACCTGCAAAAAGATAAAAGCTGAACTTCAAGGTCAAGGTGCATTGATGTTAGAACACACCACCCATCGCATTTTGTGTGACAGTGGGCTCAAAGGAAGAAGACCCAGAAGGACTCCACTGTTGAAAGAAAAACATAACAAACCTGAAATGCATATTGACACACCACAATGCTTCTGGGAAAAAGTCCTTTGAACAGATGAGACAAAATTGGAGCTTTTTGGCACGTCGGCTCACAGATGAAAAAATTAAGCTTTCAGAGAAATGAAAACTGTACCTACTGTGAAATATGGAGGCAGCTTGATTATGCTTTGGGGCTGCTTGGGTTCCTCAGGCACAGAACACCTTGAATCGGTGCAGGGCACAATGAAATCTCAAGACTATCAAAGAATACTAGAGCAAAACCTACCTCTTAGTGTCAGAAAGCTCTGTCTCAGTCACAGGTTATGGATCCTGCAACAAGATAATAGCCCGAAAGACACAGCTAAAAGCACCCACAAATGGCTAAGATCAAAACACTGGACTATGCTAAAGTGGCCTTCTATGTGCCCTGATCTGAATCCTATCAGACATCTACAGAAAGAGTTTAAACATGCAGTCTGGAGAAGGCACGCTTCAAACCTGAGAAAGCAAGAGCAGTTTGCTCAAGAGAGTGCGCCAAACTACTGTTGACAGGTGCAGAAGTCTCAGAAAGCTACAGAAAACAATTCTTCAATTATGAATGAATGGGAGTGATCTACATCACCTCCTGTTCAACTATAACTTTTTAAAAGTTTAAAGTGGTCCTTTCGCTTATTGCCGAGGTGTATGTGGGATACGGATTTCTCATCCTCACATTCTGGGATCCTATGTTATGCTCCAGCTTTAAGTTTACATCTATGTGTGTATATAAGATTCAATAACTGTTTTTAAATAATAGTAAATTCTCTTTAACTACCTCCCGGCCAGCCGCTGTGTATACACGGCCTGCCGGGAGCTTCTTGGATGTAACTGGGCGTGTATACACACTGAAAAATGGCCTGGCCAGGAAGGGGGTCTAAACACCTGGTCTTGAAGTGGTTAAAGAAAATCCAGCAATAAAATAGAAGGATAAAAATGTGACCCTTGCAAACAAGATGTATAATACTTACTTCTCCTGCTGCCTGTACAGCCTATGCTTTATTGGAGAGAAGAGGTCCCTTGAAGACTTTTCTGAATATGACACTTCCAGGAGGGCCAATCTTCTGCTCCGTCACTGCATGCTGTAGTTCCTCTTGCTCACCCACATCATTACTGTGTCCTAGTGACATGGGGGTAGTGGTAGGAACCACATCTTATGACAGGAAACTAATATATTGGCACCCCTGTAAGTATCGAAGTGAGAAGAGTCTTCAAGGGACCTGTTCTATAAAATAAAGCATCAATTGACTGTATGGGCAGCAGGAAAGGTAAGTATTACATATCTTCTTTGAAAAGATCGCATTTTTTTTAAGCCACATAGCCATAGAGTGGCATTTTTTTGTTTTTTTATTGCACTCAGCTTAACTAATTTCTAAAAAATGATCAAGCTTGCTCTTCCACATTTTTGTTGTATTAAAAGGATTTACCTTTATTTTAAAGTGAAAACCCCTGTATGTCCCATATCCTTATATGTAATATATAATTATAACATATAATCATTTATGAAAGTAAGCCAGTGTCTTTCTATATGTCTAATTTGGGAATGGGATATTGTCCCTCTTTCTGTTTGTATCAGAATAAACAGCTTAGGAAGCATGCCTTTGAGCTGAAAATGAATGATCTGACATACTTTGTGCTGGCAGCTGAAAGCGAGCAGGATATGGATGACTGGATTTCTACTCTCAACAAAATCTTACAAATAAATCCAGAAGGAACTATTCCAGAAAGGAAAAGCGCAGATTTATGCGATCATAAACTCGGTACAAGCAATATTTTTTACACAACCTAATTATTTCCAGTGATAAGAATCTACATTGTGCAGCTCATTTGGCAAGATCTCTTTATTTTAGAGTAATTGAATTATCTGGGCAATGTCAAGAAGTATAGAATTCTGTAAAACATGTCTCACAATAGGAACATAGATGTGTTTTATACTGCAGCATGAAACAGCAGGGGGGTAGATGGGAACTGATGCCAAAACACTTTGTTCAGATGAGTTTTTAAAGTAGATTATTGATTGATGAAGATGTCTTAATTTTGAAGGAATTGATATTGTAAAGAGTAGTGTGCAATGTTGTGCATCACATTCAATGTTGTGCTGTTTGTGCATCACATTCATAGTAGTGAATGATGCCTTTCTCATGTGACTAATAGCTTATGTAATATCACATAATACAGTGATCTGCATAATATGTAATAGGCAGTTCAACAGGCTCTGGAGTATTTTTCGCATACTCTAACCTTGAAGCCTGGAGATATTTCTGGGCTTTCAGTTGTGGTGAAATGCTGTTGCTGGTATTCCTTCTTCACTGGCACTGGCTAATCCCGGACTGAATGTATCACTACAAAGAAGTTCCTGAAAGTACTGTATATATTGTCTCCTGCTCATTGGAGCTTTGCATCAACGTTCTAGTTGCAAACTTTACAGGGGACAGGGTAAAGTTAAACAGGGTATGGGAGGGTGGTTCTAGTAATAGTGTACTTACAAAAAAATTGTTCAATCAGAAAAATTAGGAAATGGAATTGTAGTATTGTGACGTGGTATTGTTTAGAATAGACTTACTTATGATTTATAATTTGCATTTTTCCCAGATGAACCAGCAGAACTGTTTGTGAGTTCTGAAACTGAAAAGGAGGAAACTGACAGTGCAGACAATTCCCTCAATCCTGACCTTGCAAAGGTAAGTTAAAATTAACATTATAATAATATCTAATGAGTCTAATAGTGACACAATGCAGAAATGTCTTCTTGTGAGATTTAGGCTACTCAGAATTCCCTGGGATCTGCCCAGAAGGAGAGTAATGTCACCCTCACCTAGACTCCGGTGGTGGAGGCTGGGGATAAGGTAAGGATATAAACTAACTTTTTACCAACTGGGTTTTCATTATTTTAGTGCAGCATTTTGGCATGAGGGAGTGGGCTCTATATAAAAAGTTGACCTGGTATATTTAGTGCAAGGCCCACTTTAATAATCGTGGATGTAATGTATAAATAGGGGATGTCATTAAAAACTAGAAAACCAGTGATTTGGATTGGATATTATCGAGATTCATTAATAACTAAATTAGTATTCTGCCCTATCCTAGTAATTAGCCAACTGTAAGAAAATGTGGTCATGAAGAACTAAGTTATAGATTAATCTGTTATTACATTTAGCAGTAAGGATAGCAGGTTTTGCTGTTACATAGTAAAGCTCATTACTCATAAGAGACCCAATCTCAAGAAAACTCACCTGGCTCGGGTATGCTGATACTTACAATATGTAAATTGTCTCTTCTATTGCTTCTCATTGCAGTGTTTTGTTTTGTTTTTCTTTCATTTGCATGAACTGGACAGTGCATGATTACTCAAGACTCAAAAAGTCTGTTAGAAGGGAGATGGCTAATTATAGACACTATACCATACTCAATAACAGGGTATAGTAATCCAAAGCAACCAAACCAAATTCACTTTAGTGAACTTTGATCCGCAAAACATGAATTCCAAAGTTTCTTCATCACAGCTTCATCAAGTGGCCACACTGTAGTATTACAAGATTAAATTCGGAATGGCATATGACTTATATATAAAATATACAAGAACGTTTGTTTTGTGTATCCATTCACATATAACTAACATTCATGGAGATTAACAGGGTCAATGACTCTGCTAATTGTTTATAAATAGATCATTTTGTGTCTAACCTTTGTAAACATTATCAGGGTTATTCACAAAAGGGTGAAAAGTTTGGAGAAGGCATGAGAAGTGAACAATCTAGGACAACATAGCTGATTTGGAATAATTCTCCAATTCAACTCACTTTCCATTTCAGCTATGTTGTCCTAGATTGTTCACTTCTACTGCCTTCTCCAAACTCTTCACCTTTTGTGAATAACCCTGTATATATTATTTTTAATAGCAGCATGCATTCTCTTGATCCTTGAAAGTGCTAGATACAGTAGCTCCAACTCTGGACAGAATGGCTACTAAACTTTATAATAAAGGACTCATTAGGCTGTTTTCAACAGTTTAATTGGTAAATCTGCTTAGTCATTATTCCAGTGCATTCCAAGCAAATGTTATATATTTTGTACTTTTTATGCCGCGTATGAAACTAGATTTTAACTTTAGGGTGGAGGGTGGTGGGAACCTTTTTAGACCTTTTCTGTAAGAACTGCATGTGGGTTCCTGTGTTGTGGCACAAAAATACCATACGATTCTACTCATGTGGTTATCTTGAGTGCTCTTAGTGCTCCTAGACACAGGGCACAAATGTGCCAGTCAGAGGGACAAAAGATCCAGTGTGGCACATAGATGTTGATACTGGCTGACACTAACTTTAGCACTGATTGCACTGATTTTAGATTTTGCATTCAGTGTCTTAGGTGCATTCAATACTTAATAACATGTCAGTGTGTACTGCTGTCCAACAGAAAGAGCTAATGTTCCTCTGAAGGGCAGGTTTGTATGCTTTGGACTTTAATTTCAGTGTTCCATAATTCATCCATTGTCAAATTTGAGAGTGGCTTGTAGAAGCCTTTTGGGCCAGGCAGCTACTTTGCGGTTATGTGGGCTCTGTAGCCTTCCTGACAGGAGTGTGAATACTTTCTTTGTGAATGCACAGGGATATTGCACATTAAGGCTCACTATTCATACTGCCTAATACTCAGAACCATCCTTTCACCTTAAAAGTAATTCTTTCACAGTCATTCTGTGTTGTGTGGCCTCCTACCTTCAGATCCACTTTTATGGTTTACAAAGAGTTTTTTCCTAAATCACCAGTCACACGTATAGATTGAAGAAAGATACAGACAGGCATTGGTGAGAACCAAAGCATATCACTTAGTGAACTGACCTTATAGGAAACTTACTGAGAGCAATGCATAGGCTGCCATTGCCGATCTTTCCTTCTGAAAATGCTTGTTGCCATGTTATCATGGTGATCCAGTGATTTCAGCACTATCTGAATCACTGATGTAGAACAAGTATACAGATGGTGAGTTTTTACTTAATTAACTATATACAGTATTTGTTCTAGTACGGAAGCTAGTGAATCAGGCTGTCAACCAGGCAACTGGCATTTTCAAATTCAGGTCAGCAGTAGAAGCTTACATATTTTCAACAGTCCAGGTTAAGACTTAGCCTTTTGGAGACCTAGTAGGCTGTGTTCTCTATTTGTGTTTCTATGTTACATTTTCAAGTTGTATCTAAGTTTTTCTTTAATACCTTCACTAATTAAGAAAACAATTTAAAACACATATTAATAAAAATCTTGATGATGAATCTTAAATGTTGAGGTGGGCCAATTGAAACCGATTTCATTAGTATGATTTGTCTTTGCTTAGTACCTTGCAGAGACTGAAGAGACCATTAAATCCAATAGAAATTCAGAACGACACAACCTTTTCTCTCTAGACCCGGATTTATGTGTAAGTAATTCTATCTGATGTCAATGCATACACATTACTATATTTAATATATGTCTGTGAAGGTTCTCATTTATCCAGGTTATGGTATATCTGTAAAAAAATAAGTCAAGGCAACTGGACTTGCTGTATTTTTCTTGAAGACGTTTCACTGGACATCCGACCAGCTTTCTCAATTCAGAATGATTTGTACAAAAATTATCTGGAAATAAGTATGGTGAATGTTGCTCCAATCCACATAATCTGTTTGCATAATTGGAGCTAGGAGGTGTTATTACCTCTATCTGGGCAAGTTAATAACACCTCCTAGCTCCAATTATGCAAATTCAATCAACACCTGGTTGTGGCTTACAGATTATGTGGATTGGAGCAACATTCACCATCTTTTTTCCCAGATAATTTTTGTAGAAGTAATTCTAAATGGAGAAAGCTGGTTGGATGTTCAGTGAAACATCTTCAAGAAAAATACAGCAAGTCCAGTTGCCTTAACTTATTTTTTTGCAGCTATATTTAATATAATACATAGTTTTACAAGTAAAGTAGAGTGGAGTGGACCTTTTAAATGTCTACTTGTAGTTGTAACAATAGGAAAGTAATGGAACGTATCAGACATAGGTGTGTGTGCTGTTATTTACTTCTCTTCTCTCCATGTCAGAGCACACATTTCAGCCAGGTGTCATGTGCCTGTAAGGCCATATGGAGGATGAATTGTCTCCTTCCTGTCTCACTTTCATGTAACTGTCTATGTTATATGTCTCTTATCAGCACTCCGCTTAGGCAGGAGGTAAGATGGCCTTACAACCTAACACATCTGCTCTGACAGAGAGAACATTGATAAAGGAGTCCAGGAGCAGTAAAGCTACACTATTTTCACAAATTAGAAGTGAAAATCCATATAATTACATCTAATTCTCTTCAAACTATGCTGTTTATAAGACTAACCTACTTCGGAATATCAAACAATAGGAGTTATATAACAGTATAACAAAATACGCAGCTGTGTGCTATTTACAATTACAATCAAATATATGTACTGAATGCTATAAGTAAGTAATTCATCTTGCTCTTGTCTTGTATTCAATAAATAAATAAATCTAACGATTAATGAGATTATCATATTTACAATGCATGAATTTAAAAAAAACGTAACAAGCCATTGTCATTCCAGATAATCTTTGTGGGTTTATTCTTTAGGTAACAAAGCTCCAGAACTCAGCAAGTGATTCTCTGATAAAACCTTTGGAGGAAAAGACCACTAAGAGGATTATGGTATCTTGTAAATCTCTCACTCTGAATCTTCAGGCCTGCCTCAGGGAAAATGACACTGAACCAGTTACAAATGTATGTTGTCTGTAAACTCTCTTCTTTTAGAACCCAATTGTAGGTTAGATTGCATTATTTAACTATATGTAGACCTTCATCAAAACACATTAAATAGCCAGGTTTTGTCATCCCAAAGATTTCCTAACATGCTGCATATATAATGTGGTCTAAGGACCCATGCACATTTTTCTGTGTACATTAGGCATGTGTTTTTAGTGCATTGATGCTTGTTACTTTTCCTGGGCCCTATCAGTTTCTAAAGGCCCTCCACAAGTGTTCACAGGCCAAGAACATGCCTGACAACACAGCAAAGCACAACATGTGTACATTCACAGATATGTATTACGGTACATTGAAGGGTCAGGTTTGTTGACATGTGGTGGGGGCCTATTAGAAATAAAAAGGTTGCCCACTTTATAAAAATTATTAAAAAACAGCATGCAGACCAACAGCCCATTAATTTGGCCATTCAAGGAGCAGAGCTCGGGCTGAAGTAGGTACTTGAACAGTATGATTTGCACAGATCTGTGATTGGTTTACTGTAATAAATATAGAATATATAAATATAGGGGTTTATTCACGAAGCTACCAAAGGATCTAGCCGTAGCTTCGGCTGATCCTTCGTGTAGCTTCGGCCCCAGGACCCCTTCGGTTCAGGGCTGCTGTACGGGCTATCCACTATAGCCCGTACAGCCCCCGAAGTTGGCTGAGGAGCTGAGGAGTAATTTGAAGCTGGCTGGCTGGCCAATGGCCGGCCGACAGCCTGCTTCTGACAGCTGGGCGGAGCTTGGCTCCGGCCACTTGCAAAGAGATCAGCGTCCTTGGTTACCAGGTAACCAGAGATGCTGATCTATCATTACACTGAGAACCCGTCGGAGCTGCTGTAAAATCACAGCAGCTCCGACAGGTTCTCAGTGTATAATGACACGTGGGCATCCCTGGTTACCAGGTAACCAGGGACGCCCATGTGTCATTACGACGAGAGCTTAGGAGAGCCGGCAGTGATATGAAAGCCGACTCTGCTAAGCTCTCATCTTAATGACAGAACAGCATCTGCTGGTTACTAGGCAACCAGCAGACGCTGTTCTGTCATTAGGATGAGAGCTTAGCAGAGTCGGCTTTCATATCCCGCCGGCTCTGACAAGATCTAATTCTAATGACAGCCGGTCCAGGCCAATAGAAAACAGTTGGGCGCAGATAGCTGTCACTGCTAGCTCCGCTCAATCGTTTTCTATTTTATTTTTTTCTACTTTTTTATCTGTTTTTCTATTCTGCTCGGTACCAATAGCCGCTGAGTGACAATCGGCTATTCACTCACTGCTGTTCGGCATCTATGAGAATAGGCCGAACAGCAGCGAGTAGCCTGCCGGAGGTTGAATCCAGATGTTGAATCGGCTGAGTCGAACTCCTTCTGCACTTCGGGTCGGCCGAACATGCTGAGCATGTTTTGCCGACCTTGAATTCACCCGATGTACGGCTGATTTCAGCCGATATACGGCTGAAATCAGCCGTACAAGCCTTAAGTGAATAGGTTCGGGTCGGTTGTTTACTCGGTTGCCTACAGCAGCTTTGTGAATAGACCCCATAGATATCTGCAGAGTCTTAAAGTAGTATTAAACTCTCAAACCATTTTTTCAATAATGAATCCAGATCAAACAAATATACATTGCCCTGCAAAGCAATGCATTACTTTTTTGTCCAAATACTTACAATCATCATGTTTCTGCTTCCAACTCTCTCAGCTTAGCTTCCTTCAACTCCTTGTCCAGTACAAGATCACAAAGGACAGAGCAGACTCCAGCAACTGTTCATATACTAGCTTGTAAAAGGGAGGAGAGGGGGCCAGGGGGAGAGGAGTAGCTTAATTTGCTCTGTCTGTGTGTTTGTGGAGGACCAGTGCTCAGGGGACCAGCTAATTCTGTAGGAAACTAAAACTTTTAAACATCAAGGAGCAGCATTCATTGTAAGTGATTTCGTCAACATTTTAAATAGCTTAAAATCCTTTGGACGTTAATATCACTTTAAGCTACAGGTTGGGTATCAGTGTTGGATGGGCTAATTCTATATTATGATTTCTCGATTGCACATTATTTTCTATATTTACTTTTATACATAAGGGATAATTCACAAAGCTAGCCGAAGGAACAGCTGTAGCTCCGACTCATCCTTTGGCTAGATTTGGCCTCCGGGGCCCTTTGGTTCAGTCGAACCGAAGGGCTGCTGTACGGGCTATTCACTAAGCCGAAGTGGGCCGAACCGTTGGCCGGTCGATAGCCTCGCAACTGACAGCTGGACTCCGCCCAGTTGCAATGACAGTAACCTGGGGACGCTGACCTGTCATTGAACAATGACAACTTGGCGTAGCTCGGTACCATGGAGGTAAGGAGCAGAATAGCCGAGCCGGATGCCACTCGGCGGCATTTGGCTATTCACTCACTGCTGTTTGGATCGGCTGAGTCGAACTCCTTCTGCACTTCGGCTCAGCCGAACATGTTGAGCATGTTCGGCCGAACCGAAGCCAAAGCAAGCCGATTTCAGCTGATGTATGGCTGAAATCAGCTATACGAGCCTGAAGTTAATAGCCAAACAGCCTTTCGGGTGCTTTGTGAATAACCCTCATAAGGTACTAGTTAATGCAATGTTTTTGCTTTCTGATTGGTGCACCAGAAATAAACCTTTTTTACAGAGTTTAAGAACAACACTTGACCTGAACATCAATACAGTAGAAACCAAAAGAAAATATTTTATAATTTAAAGAAAGTATTTTTTTGTCTACATCTTTGTACATTTTTCTGTTCCCATTTGCAGTTTGGATATTAACATACTTGTGGTACCTAGCTACCTGATCTTTATACCTAGGGCTGAGCCACAGCTTCCCTATTTAATAATATTCAGTGATGTCTCAATATAAACATCATTAGGGGTTTTCCTAAGACTTGCCTCAGCTTGTAACTGTTTCAAAATGTATACAAACTTTGTGAGAATGTTTTTATATTTGTAAACCTGATCATTTCTGGCCTGTATTTTTGTGTTCACAGATTGAGCCATTTTTTGTAAACCTGGCTTTGTTTGACATTAAAGATGGGAGAAAGATATCAGCAGATTTCCATGTAGACCTGAACCACGACATTGTTAGACAAATGATTTGCCCATCTACAGGAGCTATAAGGAATGGTACGGTCTCACCATCCACCAGTCGGTCAAAGGAACTAGAGGAGCCTCAGATTCGTGGCTTTCCAGAGAAGTGGATGCAGTACCCTAGACAGGTAGACTTGTATTATAATGTGTGCATTATATACAGTATGTGCAATAAAGTTCTAATATCTAAAAAGTATCCTTCATATCTGTAAGATCTTTATTGTACATCCCATTGTCTGAGGCGGTGTACTTTTTTTAGCGGCGGATCATATTTTTAATGCAAGTCTAGTAGCATGTCCAAGTTTCATCTGCTAGACTTTAAGAAAGCCTTACATTAAAAAAGAAATACATATATATACTTCCATACTGGAGGGGGTGATGCCACTATCCTTCTGGTAAGATCTGGGGAAATACTGAGTATGCTAAATCTCACAAGGTAATGCTGTGACACAGTGCAGGGGCAACGTTTCATGAGATTTGGGCTACTCCTGGGATCTTATGGGAAGGATGGTGAGTTACCATCTCCAAGGCAGTGCTGGCAGAAGCCGGGGGTAAGGTAAGTATATTAAATATTTTTTTTCCCTGCAGGTGTTTTTTATACATTTAAAAGCTGCTATTTATTATTAAAGAGGGATCCCTCATATGTTTAACAGACCTTGTTTTTTACTGAAATTTTATAATGATCGTATCCCTTACTGTATTATTGTAGGCCCTATTTGAAAGCCAACCTTACTTGTCTCTCTTCTCTTTTAGGCAATTTTCTCAGTATCCAATCCACACGTTGATGTGGTCTTAGTTGCCAGAATAGAAAAAGTTCTTATGGGAAACATTGGCAGCAGTGCTGAACCATACATAAAGAACTCTGATTCCAGTAAGGTATGCCTGTGTGTTTTTTGTTTTTATCTTGCAATAACGTGCAGCATATGTTCTCTTCACATAAGTTGTTTTAATGGTATGGTATGGTATGGTTTGATGATCTTCTGTCATTTATGCTACAGTACAGTAAATGGTCATGTGAGGACAATAGAATATCTGAAATGAGTAGAAAAGATGATGTTGTCTTTGGGCAGAGTCCAGTTTGTATCTATGACTCTCGGGGGTTATTCCTTTCAGAAATAATTTATAACGGAGAGCTGCCTATGAGGAAGAAATGCATTAGCTGGTCATACAGTAAAGCCTTTTGAGTCCTTTCCATCAGTCAAAACTCCTAGGGCTGTAGTTGACCCAGTAACAATTTGTTATCATCTTATCATCATAGTGTTGACATAATTAAGTCAAAGTTATGCTTTGTGTTTGCTACATTACCTTGCAAATACAGTCAGGCCAGGTTCATACCTGGGCGATTCGTGATCGCACAGCAATCATGCACGATACAGCGCGGATTGCCGTGTGGTCACAGAGTTGCCCAACACTGCCGATCGTGCTGGCGGTGCCATTATTTTCTACTGAAAACCCAGTCGCACCGGGCGGATCGGATAGTTTCCCGTTGCGATTCTGCCCATAAAACCGAACACGGTCTCGGCTAAAATAGGTACATGTACATTTTTTTTGCGATTGCCGTGCGGATGTAACTCCATTGAAATCAATGGGGCCACACTGCAATCACTGTGTGCAATTGTGCATGATCGCGCGGTCCCTGGACACCCTCTAATTGTGATGTAAAGCTTAACTCCCAGCAAGGATTGAAAGAAAATTCCAGAGTTACATATGCAGGTACTTCTGTTTTTTTATCCGTCATCAGCTGTGTTTTATATTTTAATGTTTTATATACTGTATAAATGTTTTATATTCATGGCTGGCCATGCTAGTTCCCTCATTGTAGTTCCTAGCAGGCAGCAATAATGTCATCACATCAGCCCTGTATAGTGTGCGCATTCCCCACTGTGAGTGCTAGCTTTGCATAGCTCACTGCTGATCAAATCTGCCTGCAAAAAATATGTTCATCCTAATGGCTGGTGGGATTGGTAGTTTATGGAATTCATAAGGAAGCAGCAAGATTCTATCACCAAACTGACAAGTTGAAAAGTACCACAAGGTATATAGAGATTACCGAAGTACCGCTGAGTTACACATATCACTGAGGACCTGTTGACTTGGGAACACTGTTGATCTTGCTCAGTGCTCTAATAAGTCGTCTAAAAAGTTGTGTTAATATCTGCAAATTATCTGTTGCTGTCCTCATGCTTTGTTTCCACCTCCCACTCTGGCATTCTATGGTTCTCTTTTGCCAAATGTACGGTAATCCATTCTCTGCCACTCTGTCAGGCTGTATTGTACCATTGAATACAAACATACCTCTTCAACAAAACTTGTTGTATTTCGAAGCCATCTCCTAACTTAAGCTGGCCATACATCTATAGAATTTCATACAAAAGTTTGCATGAAAAAAGAGCAAAATTGTTTGTCAGAGCATTCAATGGCACCATCGTGGACACATTTTGTATGATATTTTGCTTGATTTCCATGCCAGTGTGTTGAAGTCTAACATTTCATTTTGGGATGCACGGAAGTGATGTAATGTTAATTTTCCAAGCACTTGTGCATTACAGTAATTACTTTTAAATTATTTCTTAATTCGTTTTTTCCTGTCCGGGAATCACAATCACATTTAGAAATGATTGTTGGTTTGTACCTATTAACTTTTAGAAAATCAAACGCACATTCTGAAAATGAAGGTTTTTTAAAATACATTTCTACATTAATGACCAGAATAAGTGACTTCACATTCTACTCCACTGTACACGCTGTTCCATCCACTCTTTTATTCCCTTCTTTTTTTATTGGTCACATTTCCTTACACTTTATCCCACTGTTTACTCAGGCCATGACCTGTGATTTATTTACTTATTCTGCAGTATGATATTTGCTCCCTAGCAATTTAACTCTGGGCTCTGATTTATCCAAGCTGCATGGCAGGTCAATTTTTAGCTACTGACTACATTTTAACTTAATGTATTTTGGATTATGTATGGCTGGACCTTCCTCCTACTTCAGATTGTGTATGCAGGGTATATTTTAGCTCATTCCCTATTTGGTTATATACTTATGTGCAGGTTTCTCATATCTCCTATCTACTTTCTTGTTATCAGCTGTTGTTATGATGCAAATGAGTTACTGTTATAATCTACAGTTAGGGTACATTCACACCAAAATCAGAAGGAAATCACAAATCGACAGAGGGTCCATTGACTTGCAATTGTACCTTCTGATTTTCTTCCAATCTGTTCCGTAAAATTCTGGTACTGGTAGAAGACCATATAGCCTGTAGCAGCTATGCATTGTGTGCCACAGCACCCCAGTGCATGGCTACTGTGGTATTGGTTCAAATCACCTGGAACTAGAGCACCACAGCATCTCTTTATCGTATCATTAAGCCTTCAGCAGCTATGCTTTGTGGGCAGTATAGTGTAACAGTGCCCCAGTGCATGGCTCTTTTGCCATTGGTTCACATCACCTGGAAATAAAGCACTGTGGGATCTCCTTATTGGGTCATTAGCCTGCAGAAGCTATGCTTTGTGGGCAGCAGAGTCTAACAGTTTTGAACTGCATGGCTGCTTTGCCATTAATTCATATCACCTGAAACTAGAGAACCATGGGATCTCCTTGTTATGTCAGATAGCTAAGTATATGCTTACTGTAATACCCCAATTCATGCTCCATAATAACTTCCTGAACATTCAAAGGCTACCTAAATATTGTATTTACGTAAATTTGGGTGTATTCCCATTTAATTCCCAAGTAGAGATTGCTCTACTATATACACAGTCAACTAACACACAGACACAATTTAGAGTTAAAAATCCCAGAATTTGCATTACATACTGTAAAACCCACAGTGACCATCAATAATATGGGTTTGTTTTAAATTTGTCAATTTAAATCTTTTGTGCATTTAACACCTTGAAATGCATAAAACACAGATAGTACCCATACAATTATTTTATCTTTTTGCCAGTCTGCACAGAAATTGCTGAAGACAACAAAGCAGCATTGTAGTCGGCTGGGAAAGTATCGGATGCCGTTTGCATGGACTATGAGGTAAATCAGGATTGTTTTCTTTTGTGCAGTACATTTTACAAATCAGTTTTGCATGTATTGCTGATTTAGATTTTTTCTGTTCAGAATTAACCTCCTGAATGCATTCATTTCTATATATTTAACAGCACAATCTTTGCTTGAAAGTAAGTTACAAATAGTCAACTCTTTATAAATTATATCTGGTGCTAAAATGCAACCTAAAGTAGAACTAAAGGCATTTTGAATACCTGTTAGGTTCCTATTGCTGTCTGTGTCCCTGTTAGGAAGATGTGCCCTCTCTAATTGTGACCATTGTCAACAAGATTGAAAGTATAAGAAAATCCCACATTTTAAATTGTCACCTGAACAGGAATACAGGGGAAGTATTTTAATGTAGACAGACTTTAATACTAGTGACCCTGGTGACAACCTGGGATTTCCTTCAATTTGGAGGGATGTCGTCTCACTTCCGGTTGTGTTCCAGGTCTGTCCTCGAGGAACAGACATAAAGTGAGAGGATTTTTTTCCAAAGTAAGGTGAAACTCGGCCTTTGAGAGTTTCCCATGGATCTTTAATGAAAAATTTTCCCTCTGTGTGAGTGAATATCCGGACAGGGTTAGAGACAGCACTATACCTTAGAGGTTCTAATCATTTACGCCTCTATCCAAAATTAGAAAAATATTTTGACTGGCAGAACTGTTTGGTTCTGTTATCAATAAAAATCAGTAAACATGTATATACATTTAACTACTAAAAATACCTGAATTTGTCTCAACATTAGCCATCCATCATCCCTTCTACATCAGCAATCACATAGGAAAGGCCAGCATTAGGAGCCAATCAAGTTTTGCTGCAGTGCAATACAGTATGCTGAGGGAGAACTTGCTGACAATTGGAAAGACCAAAGGGATGGACTAACCAGAGTTCTGCTGCATCTTCGTTGTCTTGTCAGCAGACAGGGATGTGTTCTTGACCAAGTTGTCTTGCAGTAGTGAAAGTCAAGGGTCTGGCTAGGAAGTTTGGCATTGATTTCTGGATCACAAAGCTAAATGCACAAAATTGAATTTCCTTTCACTGATGGAACAGTTCTCATCTATATTTCCACTGTGCATTTAGCTGCTTGGCAAAAGCTTTTTAAGATGTTTAAGATCAAAGGTAAATTTAGGATATTGTTTTTGATCTGTGCTTAATGTGAAACACAAGGCATATAACGGGTATACCCAAAAACTGAGCTTTTGCTTTAGTGTGGATTCTGTTTAGCAGAAATATCCACCAGCTTCTTCTGTCACTTGGCCTAACTCATATGCTCAGGTGATTTCTGCATGTATAGGGTATGTCCACCAAAAACTGATATTTAAATTGTGAATTGATGCCAATGGGTTGGCTCCAGCAATGAGATGTTCCCATTGTGATTCCATCTATGCCCCGTCACTGAAGCTGTAGCAACAGCATCACATTCTTGATACTGCATTCCCTGTTTATTCACTGAGCTGGGTAAGGGTAAGGACACCTATATAACATGGTGCATGAACATTTACAGTCACTCTAATACATCTCAAATTACAGACATGGAGACATTACTATTTGATTGACCATTGTAAATATGTTTATTATGAATTCAAAGTATGAGTTCACTTTTTAAAATGTCCTTTCTTTTTTCTAGACCAGTATTTAAAGACAACGCTGGGAACATAGATCGAGAATCCAGGTTTTTCCCTCTCATCAGACAAGACAGCAGCAAGATTTCAACAGAAGATATGATTAAACTGGTGGCAGATTACAGAAGGTTGGATTAAGTAATATGTCTGTGAAATACATGAACTAGTAATTGCTCAACATTAAGTGCTGGTTAATGCAGTCCACATTGTGGCAAAATCAGCTGTCTCTTCTACATAAGAATAAATACACTGGCAAACTACCAATGGTCCTTCTATTTAATAAAAGTGCAATAGTTCTATGGTGGTATTATCCAAACACTTAGATATAGCACAAGAATTTCAAACTTTCTTCCCACATTATATGTCTCCAAATAGCCATACCTGCTTGTAGACCAGGAATCTTGCTTGCCGTATAACTGAAGTTTTCTTACTATGCTAGAAGTTCTGAGCAAACCAAAACAACAAATAACGGTGCTTTAGTCAATGAAAACACACAAGTGGCCTGTATTTTTTAGACTATTTGTGTTCCCTGTTTGATTTTTTTAATAATGTGCACAGGAAAACGTAATCGACCAAAACTATTGCAAGTTTCTATTTTCCCCATTCCCAGACAGGGGAAGTATCTTTTTTACTGATTTATAGATACTCCAAATTAACTACGTACGTAATTTTTTTAAAGCATCTCTAAAGTCTACTCTAGTGTCCATACAGGTCATAGAGCACCTGGCCTTAGTTGGCCTTTCTATTATATTATATAGATGACAAGAAAGACTTTTCTACTGTCTATATAAATTCCCCTCAGTATTTAGTATAAGTATTTAATTGGGTGTTTGTGTCACTGTTGTATAATATATAGAGGGAATGTTTAGAATAGGTCCCCGTGTGGTCATTAATAAACTTTTGGGTATAGAATTGTACTTTTTTATGTTATGGGACTATATATATGTATTTGCAGTACACAGTTTTTATTTTGCTTATGTCCAGGTCAGAGAAGATGAACAAAATACCAATAATTCCAGGAACCTTGGATATATTAATAGACAATGTGCTGAAGGAACATTCAAGTAAGCAATCTTTTCACACACATTACATTTTACATACATTGTGCTTAACTGCATTGAATAATGTGAGTCTTCCAGAAACATATATGAAATATGTGGCTTTTTCCTTTTTTTTTGCTACACATATACAATACATCAACTTGTATATAATGGTTTAATATGTGTTAATGCTTTAAAACCTTGTTCCCGTGTATTGCTCCTAATTATGTATGTGTATGGGGCAGCCATCTTTTCTTATTGTATATGAAGGCACTATGCAATAGTTGATGCTAAACTATAGCTGTATATATCTATATGGCTGATCTCAACATAATTTAACTAGGTTTAGTTGATGAAGAAAGTTCATAGTTGAAAGAACATGATGGTCCACTATTCTCATACATACCCCAGGATAACATTTATCTCAGTATAATCCAGAAAGAGGTGTTTTATGGCAGAAATCATTTATCCATTATGGGTCATACATAAAAAAATGGGCTATCAAGAAGGTTTATTGTTGCAACCAATTAGAATGTTTGGTTAAATTTCAACTCTGCATTGTACAAGGTTATTGGTTGCAGATGGAATTTCCTTTACCATCATTGTTTTATTACACATGTATATGATGCAATATAAGTGATGCATTATGGCAGATTGAATATTGATTCTGAATGTGCTGTTGGTGACATTTCCCTTACAGTTTTGAGTCTGTTTCATTACTCTGTGCCTAGGCAGGTGGTTCTAATTCCAAACCCTTGATAAATGAAGCCTTGTGTGACAGTTTTGGCAGTTGATCTATGAGATGCTATCAAGTTGGCATATATACCCTGCTATGATTTGCATCACTGTTTTCCAGATTGTCTTACCTCATCTTTAGTTCCAATTAAGCCATTTAGTGAACCAGAGAAATGTCTGCCCACTGTGGAAGTTGAAGAGTTTGTACAGGCATCAACCAAATACTCTCAGCCTTTCAGATCTTACAAGAACCAAATATACATTTACCCAAAACATCTCAAGTATGACGGCCAAAAATACTTTAACAAGGTAAGATGTTATATGATACTATACATTATTAGTGTTTCCTAAAGCTAAACACCAGGCCTAATAATTTATATATACTTACAGAGGTCCAGCTTGTGTCATGACATCACTGCTCCTTGACCAACCAGAGAATGCCTAGTATTCATTCATAAAAATACTAGGTGTTCACTGAATGGCTGCTGTGTCGAGCTAGCCACCTTCTGTGTTTTAACACCAGAGTAGAAGTTGTCCAGCACAGCGGCAGTACAGGATGCGGAGGTTTGACGTAACTCACTGTAGTAGCAGCTGCTCCTGCATTGTTTTACAGGATCATCTTGGCCCTTCTAAGTATGAAAGAAAAAAATTTATATATATACTTATATCGGTCTAGCATGTGCCATGATGTCACTGCCCCTCGTCCAATCATAGAGCGCCTAGTACTCATTCAAAAAAAAAAAATGGTGTTTGCTAAATGGCCTGTGTACTAAGTGAGTGACCTTCTGTGTTTTAACATGCAGTGCAGGACCCAGAAAATCACTGCACCACACTGTAGTAGCTGCAACTACTTCAGTGTTTTACAGGTTCCCCGTGGCCCTACCAGGTAACAAAAAATATACTCTTATACTGGGTCAAGTTAAGTTATGCATTTTCTTTGGTTAAAATATTAGAAAATGGTGAAAAGTAGGGATTTACTGATACCATTTTTTTCCAGACCAACTACGAGTACCGATACTTTTCCTCGCCAATACCATTTACCGATACCTTTTTTTTTAGTGTCATGTGACAGTTTTTCTAAAACAATACAAACTAACAATTTTAGGACAGTGGTGGAGCGGCAGGGCCTGGTCGACCTTGGTAGTTCTGGCACTAACTTCAAGCTATAGAGGGACTGCAAATCACAGCAATACATTATATTTAAAGTTTTTAAAGTCTAATGTAGCCAGATTTCTAATGTCTGTTTTACTCATATTTACGCTGTGCACAATAGACATATGATACAGTGTATGTACTTGCTTTTTCAGAAATATTAAAGTGTAATTATTATAGTTAAAACTATCTTTTTTAAATCCAATTTGCTGCTTTTTTACACAGAGTTATCAGTGTAAATGGTAATTACCCAGAAATACATTTATCCTTGGAAAGATTTTTTGTCATTTATATATCCAAAATAACATGACCTGAAAACACGCCTCTTTGGGCTCCATTCTTCGGTGAAGTCACTGCTGTGGCACCTCACATCACTGATCAGAACAGTCTGTTCTTTTCTGAAGGTGCCCAACAGACTGAAATTGATCTGTCTGCAGGTGGCTACGCATGGGTTGCCAAAGTTTGCATGATGCTCTAAAAGCTCATTAAAGGGTTTACTTACTCTGGAATACTGCTCTATTTGGAACAGTTGTCTTTTACGTTTAAAAAAAAATGCATGCTTACATATTGTTAATAGATTTGTTTTCTTATATTTTTCATGAAGTCAAAATATAGTTTGATCAATTCCAAGTACTCGCTATTGCAAACAGAGATTTTCCAGTTTGTTGGAATATCTTTAAGCAATTAGCTGACAAAAATTCCCCTTTCTATGAAGCAAAAGGAATATGTTTTTCAGCTTGCATGTGACACATTCACATGTCAGCCAAGTTGTGGAGAACATCCTGGCTGTCCCCAGAAGTTCAGTGGTTAAATTTGGACAGTTGTCTTGATGCCAGTCATTATTAGTGAGACATTTGACCATCTATGACAAGCCTTACATCTGGTGACAAATAGGATGTGATGTCAATGAATGACACAATTTGCCCCCTTATCACATTTTTAAAAGGGCCAAATATTGTTTTCTGTATTGTAAAGAAGCAAAATTAAGTCATGGAATTGGATTTGTTTCAGTTATTGCAGGGTCTACTGCCTTCGCATCTATACAACATGAAAGCATTAATATCCTACCTTGCTCTTCTTGCAGGCAAGGAACATAATGGTGTGTATTGAGTTTAAGAGCTCTGATGAAGAAGGAAGCCAACCCTTAAAGGTGACCTGTTCACAAAAATAACTGGGTTCTTTGCTTTTCTTTTAACCAAAATATATTGTATGATGAAAGTTGCCTTTTTCTATGCACGGTGGTAGATGTGAGAGGGTGGGAACCAGGCTAATTAGGGACAACCTGAGGGGGTAAGGCAATAACAAGTACTTCTGACACTGGAGAATGTGAAAACCAAATTGCCTTCTTTGTTTTAGTCTCCATATGCTTCCTGGGGTCCTTATGTCTGGAGCTGTATGCACACTCTTCCTGTAACTCTCTGACCAATAGACAGAGGGTAATCAGCTTCAACTTTTTTGGCTGGATTGTCTATATTTGCATATTGACAGGTCAAGGTTTTGGGGTTCTATGAACACCCTGGAGACAAAAATGAAGTATGTGTGGGGCCCCTTAGCGCATACTTTTAGGTTCTTTTTTTACTTTGATAACATTAGTCATGTGAGACATGTACTGTACCTCTACTATATCATAACTGCTCACGACAGATCTATAGAATAGATATATGTCTTTTTTTGGGATGTCTGATTTTGAATTTGCAATTGATGCTTGTGATCACAGTGTTACATGCTTTTTGAGAGCAAGGGTCACATAGTAAGGGCAATGGCCAGTTAATATACTTACCTGGTCAAATGAGCTAGTGAAAACAATAACAATAAAAATGTATCCAAAACATTAACAGCGGAACTCTAGGCCCACCCTTTCCTCTTTTTTTATTTTTTGAGTGTTAGAGCTTTAGTCAAGTTTTTATTGCTGTTTGTGTCTGTAATTGGGTTTTTGCTTTTCTGCTGACTCTTTCTGAAACCTCAGATTACATTTCTTACTGCCTGTGGGGACCTATTAACTATGCTTTACATGAGATACTTACCATGTGAAACGCTTGCCCCGGGCCTTTTGCGAAAATTATCTTGGAGGTAATTAGATATGATTAACTGGTATATTACTTTGTTGAAGACTTAAGGGAAATAAACTATATTGCTCATGTCAACCAATCATAAATGTGTTTTAATTTAGAAAAATCAACATGGTAGCAATTGGTTTCCTCCACATTTTTAATATTAGCCAAGAAAAGAAAATTCTCATGAACCAATGTCAAAAAACATAGCTTACATTTATAGCCTTTTTTAAACTCCCCAAACGTTTGTTTATGGAAATACAAATCCCTCAACTCCTTAAAGTGTCTACTGGCTAGTCTTGGATTCTGCATGGATTAGGCTCATAAATCTCCATGGGAACAAGGTCTTCTGAACACAAAGATCATGTCTAGATTGAACATAGTAAAAATATTTGCTTTATGGAAAATACAGCAAGATGCTCCCTCATAGAGACATGTAACTAGCCATAACAAGATTATGCAACTTCATTTGTTTGCTATGTTTATCTGACTGTTTTGTGAATGTGTTACATTTATACAATTTTCTGCTGTCTTTACTGTTTTCCTTCTAACAGTGTATTTATGGAAAGCCTGGTGGCCCATTGTTTACAAACGCAGCCTATACCACCATCCTTCACCACTCTCAAAACCCAGATTTCTATGATGAGGTCAGTCTGTATCACATATTTAGTAACTTTTGCTTATACAAGATTTTTACCCATTGCTTCAAATGCTATAGTAATATGCATATTACTTCTGACACATTTGCATGTCTTAATCTCCAGAAAACTTGATAAAATATATCATGCATATGACCAAAGATACTAGACCAGAATACATGCACTGATGCTGGTGGTGGCCCATGTATGCAGATAAACAGTCATTGGGCACCTGAAATCACAAGCCTGATAGGAGTTGTTTTAGCATCATCTAGCAACAGAGTTAATTTATGAAAAGTCAATAAAAGTAGATTTGTTGGCCAGGGGAATTACTGCTAAATTGTGACTGGCTTGTCTCACTGGCTTAGAAAGCTGTATTTAGAGAGATGAGTAAGCTGCATGAAAAGAGCACCATGGTGATAAGTGGGAGCTTACTGTGAGGAGAACTGCCCTAGAAGGCCTGTTTTGTGGAAAAAGACTGCCTTGCAGAAACTGAGAGGCACATGCCTGGAAAGAGAGAGGAAGAAAATGCTCTGGAATGAGAAACACTGCCCTCTTTAGACTGGACTTGAGAGAAAGAGAGGCTGCCATGAAGAGCCCTGAGCAAATAGAGGCACTGCTCTAGAGAGAAAGCGAGAGATACTCCCAGCCAGGGTTGACTGCACAAACCTGTTCATGCGTCCTCTGAGGCCATTTTCAAAAGACCAGATCTCTACAGGCAGGCTAGGCTGAGAAATGCTTCACTGTGGAGTTGTGGAAGTCATTAATATCCATTATCATACTAATGGCATGCCATGTAATATATGGTATTTAAATTAGGTAACATTTTCATATTGACTAATGGAAGCTGATGGTTTAAAGGGATTTTTAAAATAATGGCTTCAGAGTACAGATTTATTTGCAGGAAAGCCACTGCCGAAGGCAGCCGAGTGAATACCGCGTCAAAGTGAAGTGAGCCGAACGAAGTTCGGCTATTCACTCCGGCTCAGTATGGCTGGCACCTTAGTGGGAACTGAGCAGAATAGAAAATAAGTGAGAAGAGTGGGGGGGAAAAGTTGAAAAATAATTTTTTAAAATGTAAATAAATAGGAAAAAAAAATATTTTAAAGAAAAATAATTGGGCAGAGCTAGCAGTGACAGCTAGATCCGCCCAACTGTTTCCTATTTGCTGGAACCTGCCAGAGTCTTCTAGCAGGTCACGGGCAATAAATAACAACTGTGACGTCACGGCCAGCTCCGCCCAGTTGTTATTGTTTAATTACAGATCAGCATGCCAGGTCATTTGGGCACGCTGATCTGTCATTACAACTGGGCAGAGCGAGCTGTGAAATCGCGGCTCCCAACTGTCATTTGCGGAGCGAACGGCTTTGGCCTTTGGCAGGCTGTTCTCCCCGCCTTGACTGTCACTTCGGCTCACTTTTCCCCTCTACAACCCTGACCAATGTTGATAGAAACTGCACTATTAAGTATGTGGAGTTTTTTTATGTTCTGTTCAGTAGCTGACAAGTTTTATATTACTTATCTCCTATACTTATGTAGAACTAGAATATACCAAGAACTATTCACATTATTTATTGCTGCCTAGCAGACTCCTATATAATGTCACTACAACAGGCATACAAGAATGCTCACATCATACTCTAGGGCCAATTAAATATAAAGAACTATATACATTAACGTGCATGCATATGTATGTATGTACACAGAGTTTATGTAATAATATATTTCTAATATCTGTGATGATAATGCTGTATGCAGCTTACAGCAACCATCAGACATTGCCTTTGCAATTTAGAGCAGTCAAACAAATGAAAGATGCTAACTGCATATCTTTGCTTTTTGCTCTAAAATACTAAATAAAGCCTTGTGTGCTTAAACTTCTAATTTTACTGTCCACTCATCTGTTTCTGTGTGAAAAAAAACAAGGGAGATTTTACCAGCTCTGCTATAAAACGGTTTAATAACCACACAGCCTTTTTTCATAAATCAGCTGCCAGGTTAATAGATTCCCGCCAAGACCCCTCCATAGCACTGGCCAAGCTTTCTTGGCAGCTTTTTCGTATATAAAAGATTCGGCTGATTTCCAGGAAAGCATTTTCCAGTGTCTGCAATGGAAAGAGAGGTACATTTACACATACCGCAGAAATCTGTACATATTTAAGGCTTATTTTCTGCAATTGTTATAAAGCATTTCCTGTCACACTTTTTTTATTAGACATTTATGTTTACAGCTTTGATTTTATTTTGACTGTTGCTTTATTTTATACAATAATAAGTCACTCAGACACTATACACAATATAATTATATTCAATATGTATGCAAATAACATGGTAACCTTTTTATGAAAGAGAAGCTGTCATAGATTTTAAAGCAGAGCTTATGTGAAATATCATGGTGCTCACTCTGTCTTCTAAGATGGCCCATGAAATAACTGCCTGCCTTAGAGAAAAGACTGCCCATGTAAATGACCCTTGTGTAATCCAAGAGATTATCCAAAGACACCTTGAGGTTCATTTATACAAGTTCAACCTGACGTATAGCTGGGAGGATGCCATTTGCACTGACGAGTATAAGAGTATAGTAAATGAACCCCATAAATAGGGGTTCTATATAAGGTATATTATATAGTATACTGTGGCTACGCAGACGGGCAAGGAGGAGGTATTTCACTTAAAGTCCACGTTATGCTGACTAACACTAGTGCTTAAAGCAGTCAGTCAGTCAGTCGTCCATGTAAATCCATGTACAATAAAATAAGGCAATTCCACGTATTTCAATAGGGCTTCAGATTTCTTGTAAAAATTATGGGAGCTCCGAAATTTAAAGGGACTAAATTATATAAATGCCAACTTTAACTATAAAGCCAGATCTTTCATCCACTCATTTCACACCTCACTATTGGCTAGTAAGATTGTCCATCACAGTGACTGATAACTGCTGAGGTGCCAGAAGGGATGGGCCAAAGATTAAATTTGACATATTAGATTTTTGTGTGTGGGTGTGTTTTTTTATCATTAAAGGGCCATCCCTGCTTTAATTACCTAGCTGTATGCTGCTGATATAAATAGGACACTGGCTGTATAAGAGTTTTTGACTGATACTAGTGAAAATGATTACACCTCACCTTTTACATCTGCTAGGATTATTTATAGCCATATCTGGGTGGTTCCTAGTCAATGCCTCCTTGAGCAAATGTATTTTTTCAGAGAAGTGCTGTACATGAGAAATATTGATTGTATTTTCATAGGCTGCATTACAATCAGTCATTAAATACCAGTAAAAGATGATGATTTTATTGGATGCTTTAAAATATTGAATTTGTTGTTTCAGACAATATATATATACTAAACATAAAGATATTTACATTTACTGCCAACGAAAACAAAATCTACCATGGAAGTGGGGCTACCCCCGTACTGCAAAGGTTAACGGCTCATATATGTCTAGGATAGCTGTGTTTTGGTCTTTTACATGCTATGTATAGCGCATTGCACTCCTGACCGTATGATCATGAATCAAACGATGGTAGGTGGTGCAGTGATGAAGGGATGGTGCCCCGTTAAGAGCAATAAAAATAAGAATCACCGGCACTCCAAAAGTGAAGCAGTACATATTTTTATTGATGCATGTTCACATTACCACAAAGCAAACAATGTTTCTTGGCTACATGGGATCCCTTCAGGCAAACAGTGTGATGAAGGGACACTATGCGACCCCAAAACGTTGTTTGCTTTGTGATAATGTGAACATGTGTCAATAAAAATACTTACTGCTTCATTGTTGGAGTGTTGATGACTCTTCTTATTATTGATCTTTTATATACTGGACCCCTGACAGTCAGTGCTCACCCCTCTCTTCTATGCTCCAGGTTGTGGATTGTGCCTTGACATCCTTACATATAATGAAGGGCTATGATCCCAACAATTAGACAGAGGCTGCTGGTCTTGGATGCTACAGAAGTAGGGATCAGTTAAGTAAAAGTCCTTTACACAATACCCCTAGGCATATATAAGAAGTTAACCCTTGCAGTTCTGGGGCAGCCCCACTGCAAGGATCATTTTATTTTTCCGGATAGACTTAACTTTATAGTGAAAGATTACACAGTTCAAATCTGACATTTACCAAACCTTCACTGCAGGTAAATCTTCCCTATTCATGCGTTTTAAATGACAGTGATTCACCACTAGTAAATATAAGGCACATTTACTGCTTTACAAATAAGTGTTTAGTATCGGTCTGCCCTAACAGAAACAGAAATAATTGGCTTCCAGCTTATGGGAAGTGTAGCATGCAATCTAAGCAAATTATCAACTAAGGAGGTTTTAGTATTTTAATGTTTAAACATATGAAATATAATACCAGCTGTGTGTTAGCCAAGGATATATATAGATAATCCAATGTACAGCAAGAATAAGTTGGGCTCTGGTCTGTCGATCATAATATTTTGTACAATCACAGCACTGTGTATCATTTGTATAGATTACATTTTCTTGCAACTGTGAAATGTGTATGCTTCTATGACCACTACATAATCCAGAGTGTCTCTAGTTCCAAGAGCTATTTTCTTTGTATTGATCTTATGCATACAAGATATCTAGGTGTTCAGTCTAAAGTGTCTAAGGAGAGGTGTAATATTTTACATTTCAGGTGAAAATTGAGCTCCCCACCCAACTCCATGAGAAACATCACATTCTGTTTTCATTCCATCACGTCACCTGTGACATAAATGCAAAAGCTAATGCCAAAAAGAAAGAGGCTCTGGAAACTCCAGGTATCTTTAGAAGGATTTCATTCAACTTCTGCACATTGTAACCATTTCCTACTGCTATGTGTTCCATATAGAAGTGGATACTTTGATTCACAAGGGTTTCCCATTGTCACTCCATTGAACCTCATATGTGAGCGTGGCCATTAAGCGGCCCGTGTATAACCTGCACAGTGATGTTTTCTGGTCTTCTTTTACTACAGTTGGGTTTGCCTGGTTGCCTTTGTTTAAGAATGAACAGCTCACTTCACAAGATTATCTCATTCCTATTGCTGCCAGTTTACCTGCAAGATACTTGAGTATGGAGGATACTACACTGGGGAAGGTACGAAATAGCCAATTCGTTTCTCCTCAACCTGCTAAATATTTGAATTTAAACTACTGTGTATTTTGAAAGTGTACTGATTTAAGTTAAAATTGCATTGTTTACTTAAGTAACATCTGGAGGAATGTTTTACATTTTTACATATTGTCCATGTAATAATTTTACTAGTATATCTCATATACAGAACTGGCACCGATGCAATCCTAATACAAGTACAAACAGTTGTTTACTATTCATTACAACAAGAAAATTACAGGGCAAGCCATCTAGAAAGTTTATTGTTTGCTGTTGAATGTTTACAGAGCTATCCATAGATTGCAGTGAGATTAGCGTAACTCTAAAGCCTAGCTGCTCTAGCATTCTACTAAACAGGAAGTACACAGTGTGAATAGAACAAGCAAATATGACTGCCTTCAATTACATAATACGTGTAATCAAAAATAATAGACACCAACCGGGGATGGATAGTCTTAGTAGTCAGGTTTCTAAATTGAGTAGCCTGAATCCTGAGCCCCTCAGTAATGTGTCCACCCCTGACGGTAACATATAGTATTATTAACATTAACTAATCACATTCACTCTTGTGTTTATATAATATGTACACAAAAGGTTGCAATTTGCTCCTTTATTGTATCAGTGTATCATACAATATGCCACTGAGAACATTTGCATGTAATCACACGTGCTGCGATTATCTGTGGACCATTGCCCCTGGACACAGACAGTTCTGTATCCCTAACGTGAGCCTGTGGCTGCTAATCTCGTGAGATTTAGGGGTTGATCTACTAAGGCTGGGTTCACACCTGGGCGTACGGAATATGTGTGTTTGCCGCACGTTTCGTGATGCGCGCTTTTACCACGATCTGTGGTAAAAGAAACGCGCATTTACGAGGGCTGTCCGGCTGTATCCTAATTGATACGCACGGCAAATACACCCCAAAGAAGCTCCTGTACTTCTTTGGGCGTAGGGTGTTTTTCAGCGCGTTCCTGCGCGCTGTAAAACGCCCACGTGGGAACCGTGCCCATAGGCAATTATTGGCTTTCTTTTCACATGTTGAGCGTTAGCAGCTCAACATGTAATAGCAGCTGTGATAACGATAGCTACCATCACTTAGCTAACACTGCCTATATACAGTATGTCTCCCAAGATCCATCCAGATTCAGAAATAACTCAAACGGTAATTACTGAGCATAACCAACTATAAACAGTGTCTTTGTATTTTAATTTTCAAGTTAAAAACTTAATTTTTTAGACTTGGATATGGTGGAAATGGGAAAGAACTTGTGGCAGGTTTTTATTGCATTCTTGGACATCATTGGGGGATTTACCATCACGTCCCCAGAAACATCATGGCAAGAAATAAGGGAAATGGGTGTCACCAGCCCAGGAAGTCAATAATGACAATAAAAACTGACTGATGTTCTAACCCTTCCTTGCTCTACCAAAAAATTATTCTTATTTCTGTCTCTGTCCTTATTGGGGAGATTTCCCACTACTTTCAATCTATGTGAATCCCTATCAATTGTGTGAAGGAAGAATGTGCCCAAAAGGATACTGACTGCAATAAAAACCTAACCCTTCACCTTTCTCTGTAAAGCAAAAAATACAATAACAATACAATAAAAAGGTGATTTGGACTTTAAATAAATCCCTTGGATATAACAGACAACCTTTGAACAAGACTATAAAAAAATTCTATAAAAATAATAATGTCTATAGGACCTTTTTGTGCTTTGGCTACAGGCAGGTTGGGGCACCATAAAATGGCCACAGTTATCTGCCTCCTAATACCTTTTTTTCAACTAGATGAAGGAACCTTATCTGATGTACTTTAGATGATTGTGATTAATAGACTTTGACTCGCATGACTATTTAATTGCGCTTGGCATCCACTAAGAAAGCAATGGGTGGAAATTCTACAATGAACTGATTTCACCTCCCATATCAGATTTCTTAGAGAAGTCACATTGATAAATAGGCGTAACCAGAGTCACCACGGTTCACAAGTCACTAAAAAGAAACATAAAAGATTGCTGCACATTAAGCAGTATATTCTAAAAAGTATATTATTATATGAACACACGTATCTCTATGATTTAAATATATATTATGATTTTGCAGCTTATAAACGTATACACTTTCAGACATTAAGCAATAGGAAACATTCTAATTTATTATTTAGCTTCTGTTAAAGATGACTTTGGCTGCAGATGCCACAGGTGGATTAATATTGTATTAGAAGATGGTCCCTTCAACAAACTGAATATGACACCCTTTTAGTCAAGTACATTTTCCTGTAGCTAAGTTTATAGTTTATAAAATGTAGTGACATGCTAGTGCTGTTTTGATAACACATCTTCATAGCTCCAAACTGTTTAACTACCTAAAGTTTTATTTATTTCAAGTGGACATTTATCCTTATCTTTGAAATGATAGCAAATACACATTTAGAAATGTTTAGTAATGACAATCTACAAACAGATACTTATAGATAATTGCCGGCTTTTTATTCTTTGCATTCCTTATTTTTCTTTTCCTCCCCATTCTTCTCACAGTGGCCATTTTTACTAAGGGCAGATTCATATATCTCCCTTTACGTCCTGGAACTCTGGCACATGTGACTAAGGCATGTGATCATGTACATCATCTCAGGGGAGGAAAAAGCCTTTCCCTGAGATCTTGTGAAATTACAGATGAGATTTCCCAGCAATACTCTGCTGATGCAACCTTCCTAGGATGCAACACTTTGGCACATTACATCACGTATGCCCAAGAAGAAAGAAAGAAAAATATGTTTGTTGAACTAATGAATGTAAGATGATTTCATATCAGCATGCAGTGGTGCACGCTGATGTGAATTTCAGTAAAAGTTTGCTTTACTGCTATGCAGGTAAAATTTGAACTAAAGTAAGAACTTCTGTTTATTTTTTGTTTTTTTACATTTAGTTTTACATATATCTTTCAAAAGAGTTAGTAGGCTCTACAAAGTGATTCTGCGTCTGACTGCTCTGCACATTGACCTTTAATTTTCTTTGATTAAGATTCAGAAAATAAAGCTGAACATAAGAATATCAGCAGCTGTATGGCTTTAGTAAAAATGTAATTTGGTGATTTAACTAAACTCCATTTTAGCCGAGATGCAATATTATTCTTTAGTTTAACCGTGCTCCTCTAACAGTCCTATTAGTTAAAACCACACCAGTTATGGCAAGTAAATAACAATGTGAAAGAACAGTATTCATTTTAAATGTTTTATTTAATTTGATCGTATACCCCCACTATATTTACATCCTGGAAATCTACCCCTCCTGTCCTTCCCAGCGATCAGCTCACACTATTACCCGAAGCTTCTTTTCGTTACAAGGCCCATTCGGAACACCCAGACCTTGATTTATATCAGTTATATAATCCACATTTCCTAAATAAATACTTCTTAAATAACCTTTTGTGTTCGTTAATTTTTCATCCTCATACTAAACTCTGTTGTGAAACCTACAAGGCACTTTTAATTTGTTTTCTTAAAAGTCTTGTACTGTCTGGACTCTGACCAATGATAACCTCATTCATTGCTAACAGATGTGGGGTTTCTTCATAAACAAGTCACTGTTTCTATTATAAACACACCAGTACTCAGACACAGCTCTCATTGATGGATTTGAGAAGAACTCATTTAAAGTGACATTCAACCCTCAGATTTTTTAACATAAACCAATACTGTAATGTGTGCCTTACTGTAATCCATGGTTGTTTCCCTTCTCTTTGCTGCTCTTCCTTTTAAATCCTCATGTCTTGTCATGCTTGGGGAGAACTTCCCTTTTCAGCTCAGGGCCTCTTCCTGTAGTGCAGGCTCAGGTTAAAAGCCTATGGAAATGTATACACAGACACCGTGTATCCATTCCTGAGACAAGGCAGTCTGCTGCAAAACAGAAGTTCTGCAGAGCATGAGAACAGATACAGATTTAAAAGGAAGAGCAGCAAAGAGAAGGGAAACAACCATGGATTACAGTAAGGCACACATTACAGTATTGTTTTATGTTAAAAAATCTGAGGGTTTAATGTCACTTTAAAAGAACAGTATATTTAAAATGATAGAAAATGCTATATTTACCTAATACAGAAATAGTGCATCCATATATCAACACCTATTGTAATATAAAACAGTGTTTGCCAATGCTTTTCATTAACGTATGTAAATTAAATTATGTAATTTATCGGAGGCGGTGAGGCTGATTTATTAAAGGAGTTGAGAATCTTCACTCAATAGACTGTAGCTGTGTTCACCTTGAATACCCAATCAAGTGCAGATAAAAAATAAAAAAAACAGGAATTTATTTTTCATATGCTTGTATAATTTAAGTAAATCTTTACTCGAATTATTGAGTGGAGATTATTAGGGCTTGTTCACACCTATGCATTGCGTTAAGGGCATGGTACGGTGCGATGCATGCTATCACACAATGCACGCTATCGCGCAAAATACACCTACCGTGTATTACAGTGTGGCAGGTACATTGTGTTGCCATTCATTTGAATGCCACCACCCCAATGCACCTCCTGGCCTCAGTGCACTGCAACGCGTGGTACTGCAATACTGTGTGTTGTGTTGTGCATGCACTACTTTTTTTATCACACCACACAGCATTGCGGTGCAGCGCTTTGCATTCCATTGCAGTGCATTGCAGCACATCCAATGCATTTCAAGGGCAAAACCACTGGATACCCTCTCCTCAATAAGTGAGAGGTTTTCTACGATTTGCCGCTGAGTGTCCTTCCTTCTGGAGGATGCCTACTTTTGTTCCCCATGGAAATCCAGATCAAACAAATATACATTGCCCAGCAAAGTATTTGTTCAAATGTTTGCCCAAGATCTTGCATTCATCATGTTTTCCAACAGCTGGCTCCAACTCTCAGCTCAGCTTCCCTAAACTTCCTGTCCAGTGCAAGATCACAAGGGATAGCACAATCTTGAGCAACTGTCCATCTACTTGGAGCAGAGAGGAGAAGGGAGCAGGCATAAGGGTAGTGGCTGGCCATGCTGAGTCTGTATGTTTATGGAGACACACACCGCTTCCTAGCACACACAAGGGTGGCTCCATAGGACCCTGCAAGGAAAATGAGCCACCCTAAAACAGTGCCAGTGCTCAGGGGACCAGCTGATTCTGTAGGAAGTTAAAACTTTTAAACATCAAAGATCAACATCCATTTAAGTGATTTCATAAGCATTTGAAATAGTTTAAAACCATTTTGACTTTAATATTACTTTAAAGCTGAAGTGATACAAGCTTAAACCTGAAGTAGGAATAAAAAAAAAAATACTCTTGCAGTGGGGCCCTCCCTAACTTTCATATATATTGAACAAAGTTGCATAAGGAGAGACATAAAAACAAAAAGGAGCGCCTCCATAGTGTAATACGAATTATAATTATAAAAACGCACAACTGTATTGTGCTTACAAGAAGTCGGTAGTAAAAAGGCATGTAGAAAACAATGGGATGTCAAATCATCTAGCAGCGGAAGTCTGAAAAGATGTGCAGCATCAGCGTCCACTGCCCCTGTGTGGTCTCGGTTTACATGTTTCTGGGGCACGCCCCCTTCCTCAGAACCTGACGGTTCTGAGGAATCAGGTTTTTCAAACATAAGGTACTTTGTGTCAGTGGGAACACATAACACACCTACAGAGGGGTTAAACTGAAAGTTTAATGGGCCTTAATGTAAAAAGTGAATGTATTGATGCTAAAGAACACTTGAAAAGATAAAACCCCAGAAAGAAATGTTAAACATTTGGGAGATTTGCTTATGATTTGTGGTAATAATTACAATGATTTCACTCTATTCTATCTTCCATGCTCTACTGTAAATTAACCATCTTTTCACAACTGCACGGGTACCCTAATGGGCATGTTTTTTAAGGGTAACCATTACACCAGCTGAACTTCTCAGCATTACAAATGTGAATTTATACTAAGTTCTTTGTAATTGTCTCACAGCAAACTGGGGGTGACCTGAAATGGGTGGATGGAGGAAAACAACTTTTTAAAGTATCAACATTTATTGTATCAACAGTATATACTCAGGTAAGTATTATGAACTGTAAAATATACTGTGGGTTCTAAATCCTCTGGCATTTAAATGGTGCTTTCTTTTTTGTTCTTTTAGGATCCATATCTAAACACATTTTTCCAGCAATGCCAAAAACGGGAAGCTGAACTGTCAAAGCCCCCATCTCCACATTTCCTGACTTCTTGTAAGGTAGAGTTATTTCTTAGTCTAGGCTCGAATACCAAGTCCCCTTTTTGTTACTAAATAATGGAAGATATGACTTGCGATGACCTACAATAGCAAAGTTTTCGGTGGGGGTATTGTTAATAAAAAAGGTTGTTGAATTAGCAAAGACTTTGTAAAGTCAACTAGGAAGTGCTGAAAAAACATACAGATGTAATAATGCAAACCTGCTTACAAACTGCTAAAGGGCAGATGTCACAACAAACAGTAAATCCAAAGGCAACTAAAGTTATATCAAATTATGACTTTTCCTGTACAAATCGTCCCCACTTGTTCTTAGGAATCTACATTGGTTGGTTAGGTTGCCAATCACATTGAAGAACCAAAAATAGGGCCCAGAAGGTGAGCTGAGGCATGCTTTGCATAGAAACGTCTATATAAATTAAGCAGCCTATACCGCCAAACCCAGTGATTATTTTGACCTGTTATTGTCACCTCTGATGATCTTCTTTTTTTGGTAATTCTATGCTCACGGTTAATTGTCCAGGTTTGTGACAGGTTTACTAATTTAAATCTTGCAAACTCAAGTCTTCTTACTCGGGTTTAAAAAGCACTTGTGGCATGGGCAAGGGTAGAACCTCTATAATTTTATTGCTGTGTCCCATTTGCTGTTTCCATTTACAAAAAACTAAATATTTTTTTACAGTCAAGTTTAACTAACTTGATGAAATATCTGTGTTCTTCTATTCCTAGAACCTGCTGAATATTGAGAAGATCCACATGATCATAAGCTTTCTCCCTATTATGTTTAATCAGCTTTTTAATGCTCTGACAAAAAGTAATGATGATGATATTATCACTGTTATCACCAGGTAAGATTGTTTCATTATTTTGGACCGTATGAATGATTTCAGATTTGAGAAATTGAAGTCCCAATTCCAAAACTACTGAACTTCCTATAATATTAACTAGCTTTTCCACTCTGTACATGGTGGCTAAAAGAAAAAGAAAGTTTTTTTCAGCAATATTTATAATACAGTTTTTAGATACTCAAATTCAATGGTAAAAGCATGAGGGCATACAAAGCTTTGGTAGGCCCTTAACATTACACTTCTGGAATAGAATACTCCCTATTACTGAAAGGACCAAGAAGGATATATGTCAGATGTGTACCTTAATCTGCCATCACACAATGACTCCTGGGCTAGTTACTCCCATAAACTGGAACAAATAACAATACAATACTTAAACAATCAATAGTGGCCTTTGCATCACCAGTAGGTCCTATGCCTGGATATTTTATTTAGAATTTTTTACTGCCCTGCTCAGTTGTCTTGTTGTGTTTTTGGTTTTTTAATTGGGTAAATTGTACCTTTCCTCTGTAATCCTGACTAGAGGCTCACATAGTATGAAGCTACGTGGGGAAAGGAGTTTCTGAAAAAAAAATGAATACCCATTTATTCTGCAATAATTGTAAATTTAACCTCACAGCTGGTTAAAAAAAATGTAATCCTCATTGGGCCCGATTGACCTCATAGGCCTCCTGTAGCTGTAATCTAGGCCAGACCAGTTAAGTCTTAATAAAACAAGTCCCCTGTAGCACAGGACAGGACTTCTGTAATAGTTTTTTTTTCATTATTCAAGATCTTTAATATAATAGTATGTTGTGATGAAATTCGATGTTAACCTCAGAAAGCCTACCTGGATATAATACCACTGCCCATTCTTCACCAATTGGCTGGAATTTTTCCTTGTGTTTATTGGTTGACCATGCACTATAGTATGCCGTGACAGCCAAATGCAGCTAATGGGAAAAGAAAAAAAGAAAATAATTCCAGCCAATCAGGAATAGAGGGAACATGGTATTGTATCTGGGCAGACTCAGATCCTGCAATCCTGTATATCTATACACCAAGTTTTCAAAGTTGCTATCTAAAATTTGCTAGAAAGCTGTGACATGAAAGAAGAAGCAATACATACCTTAAAACATCCTCTCTGCACTAGTAGTCTTAGATGGGATAGCAACAGAATTTACAAGGTTCACTTTAGGCAAATCTGATCCAGGAAATAAATTCTGCTCCCATGATTCTACAGGGTGATCTAAATAATTTGTTGTCAGTCAACATGATGTAATGCAATATGCAGCCACAGATGCAAACTTTTTGATGGTGTTTGATTCTGAAGATTTCTTCACCCTTCTACCTGAAAACAGTTGTCCTGCTTCCCCATTAGAACATGGTTCTGTTGTTGTTCTTCAATATCATGGAGCACAGAATAATCAGTTTTGTTACAATGCCTTAAATAATCAGCCTTACAATGCCTTAAATAATCAGCCTTACACCTATATCGTTTCTCTAGAGTCCTTACAGACATTGTAGCTAAATGCCAGGAAGAACAGCTGGAACACTATGTCCAGTCTTATGTAAAGGTAAGCACTTTGGTTCATGTTTCTAAACACTGAAGAAGAAAAAGATTGAACATCAGTGTTTATATTTTATTTGATATCCTTCTAAAAAGAATAACCAGCCCAGATGTATCTGTTGCCATCTATAATGTTCACGTATTTGTAAGAAATAGAAGGAGAAATATGAGGCACTTTTGGGGTGCTGTTTTAGTGTGGGTTTAAACCTGTGCGTTCCAGTATGTTACTGCACACTGGATCAGCGCATTGCTGAATCTAAGCAGTCCAGTCCATTGAATAGTTTCTAATGCATACATGGCGGTGCATTACTGTGTGTTAAAGTGGGCTGCAATGCAGGTGCATTGGGGTGCCATATACAATGAATGAAACTACAATTCCTCAGCGTGTGTAACACAATGGTGTGAAGGGGCCTAACACATAAGGCTGCAAACAGCAGAAGAATCCAGTGGGGTTGATTTAAGAACGGAATAGAGCCTGTTTACTTTGTAAAGTGAATGTTCCCTTTATCATAGTGAATAAGGCGAAGCGATGTTCGCATCAATCATCCAATTATGTGAAATCAAAATGTAATAATTTTTTTTTCCTTGAACATGATTGGGTATTCAAAGTGAATACAGATTTACCTTATTCAATAAGCCAAGTGTACATTTAGTTTGCTGAATTGACAGCCTCTACTCAAATAGTAAATCAACCCCATCATCTATGATGAAAATTGACATGCCAATGACCCACATGACCACATCCCCCTCTTCTAGGCTTGACAACATAAGGAGGTGTTCTGTTGTCCAGAAGAAAAGAACTTTAAGCAGGGCTGACAACATCACTTGGGATTTCAGTGCAGCAGAGGTGGTGTTTTCAGTTCACTAGAGTACATTTCTGTAACTGCACTATTTTAAAGGGAAACAATAATAATAAAGTGCATTTATTGAGAGATGTACTAAGTATGTTTATTATTTCGCCCAGACATACACTTTAAATATTCCATATATTAGATAAACTGGACACATAAATATATAGGTCAAAAAAATGATGCTACCCATGTGCTAAACAGCCATCATTTTTTCTTGTTTAGTATGTGTTTAAAACACAGTCATATGGAGATCGGACCGTCCATGAGGAACTTTCCAAAGGAATTACAAGCCTTTTAAAATGTAATGATCTAAATACAATTAAGCTTGTGCTGAAGGTAAGTGTTTTGCATTGCAGCGGTTTCCATTTCTGCACCGCATGTGCATTCACGTCAGGGAATACAGTGTGATGTTCAGAATTAGTGGCAAGCAGACCAAAGTGAAAAGATCTAGTTTACTTAATTAAAAAATGTGTTCTGTTAGAAAGAGAAATTGGAAAGTCTTGTTTTTTCTTTGCAGGATAGTGTCTGGAGATTATTTAACATTATAATTTGCCTCCAGATTAAAACATTGTAGTATCATGGGTCCCAGCTTCCTTCTTGTGAGATCAACGTATGCTAATCTTGATATGAAAACATGCTGTCATGTATTTTTATTGCCATTTAATGCAGTGAATATGTGCCATGTCTTTAAGAGACCAGGGGCTTTGTAAGTGTCCCGAAAAGACCTTCATTGTAGGCATATGGATTAGGGATTATATTCAACACTTTCCACTTATGTACATGAATTTCATCCATTACAGTCAAGAAGTTGAAACCACTTTTGAAAATGCATTAAAATAATTTACAGTTCAGCTTTAGCAGTTGGGATGTTAATCCTACCATATGTATTGTCATTATGTGTTTGGTATACAACAGAGTATATTCAATGTGCTGGAAGCGTAATTTCTTAAATGAAGAACATTTGTGCTAGGAATAACAGCTGCTTTGTATTCCTCTGACAGCATTCCCAGTTTTTCTTCGACATAATTATCAAATCCATGGCACAGCACCTCCATGATAATGACATGGTGCAGGTAAATACAGGGTAGGGACTTGGGGTTGTTTTTTTGTTTTTGTTTTTTTTTCTTTTTACTTTACAACTTTAATTTTTGAGTCAAAGTTTCTGATCAATTTCTTTTCCTATTGTGCTTTCATTTGGTTAGTCCTTTTCACTTTTCTGCATTCCTTGATATTTTTACAGTATGTACTGCTTAGTAATCTATACAGAAAATAACCAATTTAAGTAGAGAATAAAATGGCCTAACCTGGTTTGAACTTCCCCTCTATCATAGTGCAGCTCATAAAGGTTTCAGTACACACCTGGAAATCTGAAGATAACTTTTTTAATATGTATCCTACATCACACAAGAATCAGAATTAATATGATAAACACCTGATTTATTGGACCTAAATTCAGCAGTCATATTTTAGGGACACATGTTTGTCCTTGGTCAGTATCAATTAGAGCCAATGACGGGTGAGTTGAAGACAGGTTAACTTTGAAAAGGGGGATACAAATATTGATACAGTAAAAAGCAAGGGTAGTGAAGTAAACTTCAGGGAGGTCTGGTGAGTACAATATTCAAGCTGAGATCCGAATTGTGGTCCAAACAGATGGACAGCCTACATAGTGGTCCGCCATGCAATACAACGCACAGCTGTTGGTGTGTGTTCCCAAGCACAGTGCTGATGTGCCAATCCTGGTGCATTCCATTGTTTTGGGGGGGTTTTGTTAGGAATCCCTCCTCCCCACCCTCCCTATTTACATGCACGTGCATGCCTTATGCTAATGAGTTTATTAGAAACAGATGGCAGGGTTGTTTTTAATTTATTTTAATTTTATTATATTTTATCACCTTTTAAAAATTCACTTATCTTTTGTATCACAAATGAGCTAACAAGCCCCTATGTGACAGCATTTGGCGGTGACAGGTTCTCTTTATAGACACATCAGGAGTCTGTTAGACCCCTGATGTTTCCATTGCCCTCCAATACAGTTTTGACAGCTCTGAATCAGGAAGCACTGAGATCACAATAATCCCTGCTTCATTCATCAGAGAGCACATCGCAGAATGGACATTCCTCCGACTGCTCCATCCTGACACTGTTTGCTGGGGGACCCGAAAACCACGGCAGGGTATGGAGGGGTAGAGGAGGCGCACAATAGCAGGCTAGTGCAAGTGATCTGGGTGGCTGTACAGCTGCTCAGGTCGCTCGTAGTTGTAGCAGCCGGCCCTGTCTGATGTTATTGGTTGATAGGACACCTGTGATCACTTCTTATTGTGTCTCTGGGAAAGTGCAGGGAAATTTTCCCAATGGGGACAAAGACATCAATAGCAACATGACAGAGGATCAAACACTTTCCTGCTTTATCCACAATGACAGTAAATGTTTATTTCTATCATTTTCCAAGCGACATTTGAAGAATAAAACAGAGAATATGTCTGTGAAGGTTCTCATTCATCCAAGTCATGGTATATCTGTAAAAAAATAAGTCAAGGCAACTGGACTTGCTGTATTTTTCTTGAAGACGTTTCACTGGTCATCCAACCAGCTTTCTCAATTCACAGTCCAAGTCATTCTGAATTGAGAAAGATGGTTGGATGAACAGTGAAACATCTTCAAGAAAAATACAGCAAGTCCAGTTGCCTTGACTTTTACATATAAAACAGAGAATAAGATGTATTCTTTATTATGGGTGACACAGATGTTCCCCTATAGACTTCAATAAATAGGCATCTTTGAGAAGAAGCTGATTGTAATGAGGGTATTAACTTGGCCATATACATTAAGATTTTTCTCATTCAGTTCCGAGAAGGAGAGGAACAGGAATGAGAGAGATCTTTTGATCCCCTTGTCTACGCAAAACAGTGTGGATGGAGGAATCTGCCCTGCCTGCTGTTGTCCATGGCTGTCCGAGTATCAGACAGGGACTGCAGCTAACAGCTGACACTGTTCAGCCGGCAAGCCATGTGTACAGCCAGTTCAGCAGAAAATGGCCGAAATTCATTCCCAGCTTTAGGGCTTGTTCACACCACATCACAATGTCCTGCATAATTTTTCAAAGTGTAGCTCATCACAGTAATCAAAGCATTAGCATTTGTGTGTGTTGTGCCATAGTGAAGCTGTATGACAGCGCCCTGTAAATGTGTCAGTTTACAATTGACAATGAATGGCACTGCACCATAACACACACATACAGTGCATTATGTTGCCAAATATATGAAAAATAAGATCTGTAATGACTGCAGTTAATAGATATACAATACATTATTATTACGGGCCATTGTTGGGAATTATAGAAAAGGAATTTGTGTAAGCTGCCTAAAGCTATATGAATACATTTGGCGTTTCATATTCTTTGTCTTGAATATTTAACAGTCATGAAAGTAACAGATGTACAGCAGATTGTGGAAGTTGTCACTGAGGATTGCAAAACAGAATGCATTGTTATATGACTTTCCTCACCACACTACAAGTTATTATTAATGTCAAAGTTTAGATTAGTGCTAGATAAAAGCTTTAGCTCAGCATAGATATACCTTAAATTGTATGTAAACCCTAACTACAAATGTCTCTTATTTCTTACTATTGGAAGCATTTTGTTATATCTGTCCAATAAATACAAAAAAAAAACCTGTTGATACTTTTAGAAATTCAAAGCTGTCCTGTGTCCGCTCCACAGCCTCAATGTTACCACAAAGAATCTATTTAGTCTTTCCAGTTCGCAGAATAATTAGCTAAGTTATAGAGATCTGAGAATGGGTGGGGATTGAGTGGTTTAGCAGAAGACACTGGGCAGGGATGACACCACTCAATCCACAAAATACTGTATATTGTCAGCCTGGCCACAACTGGGCTTAAGATCTGAGTGCATTTCTGGCAGGATCAATAGATATTTTTCTTTGCTTGCAGGGTCTTTAAAGTGATAAAACATGGGGCTATTTTTATGTATTGCAGAGATATACTGCATGTTTGTTTTTTTTCTTACACTATAAATAATCTTAATTTTACAATCTTTCAAATTGCTGTTGATAAAATGAAGTCCCACCCAATAGGGTTAATTTACTAAAACAGTAGAGATTGTTCACTTTCAGTTAATAAGGTGAATCCAATCATCTGTCAGCACAAATCCTGTTTTTTTTAATTACTCTTGTACATGATTGTATATTCAAAGTGAATATGCTTCACATTATTTTCTAAGCTCTGTGAACATTTACTTTGTAGTGTTTAGTAAATCAGCCTCTTTGGATCCACAAGTTGCACTTTCCTGAGTTAAGTTGCCATTTGGAAGTCTGTGACATTTTTTCTTCCAGTTTGTGTTTTAGCTGTGGTTTCTTTTATAAAACAGTGTACGCTTGTGTACGCACTCTTTACCATGGCCGTTATTACTTTGCCTAACTTTAAGCCAAGCACGATTGCCAATTCCCTTTCAAGCTGAGCTATCTATTAACAGCTATAGAACAGCTAGGTGCTCATCCCTAGCACTTGGTTTACTCATAGGGAATTTGAACTTTAGAGACATGGCAGTCACTTGATACCTGTCTTTTCCAAATGTTACCCTCTGAGTGCCATTCAATTATCTTCTCATAGCCACATGACATCTCAGAGGAAAGTGAGGCCAGATGGTACAGACAAGTAAATAGAACTCGGCTAGACTAAACTGTGTTCTTTTCAGATATTTTTTTCCCTTTGTATCATTATTTATGGACGTAATTATAAGGGTCTAAAGCAGAGATACTGAATTGAAATTCAGTCCCCTCAATATCCCCTCACATTAGTGTTCCCATCAGAGCTCCCCTTTACATTAGTTGTCCCTATCAGACTGCCCCTTACAGTAGTTGTCTCCACCAGAGTGCTGCCTTACATTGGTTGTCCTCATCAGTGTGCCTCCTTACATTAGGTGTCCCCAATGTAAAGGAGAACTCCAATAAGAACAACTTATAATTGGTTGTTCCCATCAGAGTGCCCCTTCTTTTCATAATTCATGGTAAGGGGCATTCTGATCTGCAGCTAACGTAAGGGGGTTCTCTGATTGGAACAATTAATTTAGGGGGCACTCTAATTGGGACAACTAAGGATGAAGTAACCAATGTAAGGGGGCACTCTAAAGGGGACAACCAATTAGGGGGCACCCTGATGGGGGCAACTAAAATTGGATCGGCTGTGACCTTTAGAGTGCCCCTTTACATTATTGACCCCACATACCAGCAGGCAGAGGGAGGTGAAGCAGGCTTCAGGCAATGCTGGGGGGACAAGTGTGTTGGCGATCCTAGCAACTGTAGAGAAGGGGGACCTATATGACGTTATTGCTGCTAGTTGAAGCAACAGCCTCGGTGGCCAGTGCATGCACTATTAGCCAGCCAGTGCAGGCAGAGCAGGTGTCCCCTTCGTCTGCAGTCATTGGTTGCTAGGACTGCCGGAGGTCTTAGCAATCATTGATGTCAATTATGTGCCCACCCCCAGCATTACAGGAAGACAAAATAACTTGTTCTGCCCTCTTGTAATGCTGGGGCGGGCACATAATGGATGTCACTGGTTGCTAGGAAAGCCGGCAGTCCTAGAAACCAAAAGCTCAACATGAGGGGTGACCTGCATTGGGTTATGGCGTGCAGTGGATGCACCGGCCTTGGAGGCTGGTGCATCCACTATCAGCCAAACATAACCCAGAACAGAGGCATGATCGCGATCTGGACAGTACTGCCACTCGGTCTGTGCCTGGATCACAGTCCACCATTTAGTGATCCACAGTCTAAAACAACTGTGCACACTGACCATGCTAGATGTGCTGCACATTCACTTGTGATGAGTGTGAAAAAGACAATGGAAGTGACTCTTGGCAAATGTCATCATATTTGAAATGTAAAGTAAGGCCAATCTTCAGTCATAACCCACTGCCCAGCTTCTTGATTGGAAAGGAAGCTGCCTTCATGCTCCCTCGGCACTGCCGGCCAGAGGGAGATGTCCCTCTGACCGGAAGTTCCGGTATCGCAGGTAAGTATCGGAGCATTTGGGCAAGTACGAATTGGTAAATAGTACAGTAAGCAGCTTATCTCACTGAAAACCAAATGTTGTCAAATTGTTAATTGACTTGTGGAGGCAAATCTGATTAGGAAATGCATTAATAAATAGAAAAATACCTCCCAGAGCAATATGTGGCAAATCTACTTAAAAATGTGTTCCTTTATGGTGAAACAAGCAAATTAACGTATTGTTGCTAAGCTCACATGAAGTAAGTACAACCAGGTCCTCCAACACATTTCTTTGTACAAAACACTTTGCTCCTGAAAGTTTCTTTACCTTTCTGGATCAGATCTGCTTTTCTTTGTGAATTACCTTGTGTGAGGGGTTTTGTGAAGTTTTTTTTTTTACCTTATGGAATATGTCATGCTGGAAGCTCTTTGGTCCTTGCCTTCAGCTGAAAAAAAGATTAGTCTTTTAAGAGGCACTTTTAGCACCTCTCCTCTGTCTAATGTTCCACTGTACAAACGTCAGAACCAGACTAGGTTAATATATCTATTAACTGTTTTTTCACGTAAGATGAAAATGAAAACATGGACAGAGGCATTAACCCCTTCATGACTGAATTTGTTTTTCGTTTTTGTTTGTAAATGACTGAAGCACTTTTGACATTTTTGCTGTGTGATTCTTCCACATCAGTAATATACTTTCTTACAAAGTGCATCCACACATATTAAATATTGTTTTTTAGAGGACAGATAGGACTATATATTTATATCACATATGTGTGTCTAACGCCTCACTTAGGACTTAAAATATAAAAAAAGAGGAAAAAAACGTAAAGAAAACACTTTTTTCCCAGTTTTGATTTGTAGTATTTTTTACAAAAACAGCACAGCTAAAAAAAATTCAATAAATACATTCATTTATTTGTCCTTTATTTGGAAAAAACATCAAATCCCTAGGATTTTAGAAATGTTTCTGTACTACTCGGCCTAAAGCTAAAACCTAACATTTTAATCTTTTTTCTCTAAAAGCTAAAAGTGGTCACCTGGCATACAATGTCACTGTCACTAAGTGTTACACTTAGTGACAGCGGCATACTTTGAACATCACTGTCATGAGGGTTATTTTTAAAAAAATTAACCCCTTAGGGTGAAAAACAAATCTGCAGCTCAGCTGCAGATTTTTATTGTAAGGGGTTCATTTTTATACAAATGATAGTATAAAAATATATTTAAATATATCATTTTTATTGGTTACATTTATTTATATTTGTTACATTTATTTTCCATTTTTTTACACTTTATTTAGGTTACACTTTTCACTATTTTTTAAACACTTTTTAAATTTTTATTTTATTTATTTAATTATATCAAGCAATCATTGTGAATTAATCTCACTATTACTGCTTGATAAATTAATCAATAAATTTTTGATTATTATTATGCTGCTACAAACTTAAGAACAGCCAACCTTAGTGACACTGATCCTGCAGCATATCAGGATCAGCTGTCACTAAAGGTTTTCTGAGCGTTCCAACAATGATCAGAAAACTGCAACATTCTTTCAGGAATAGAAACACCATGTTTCTATTCCTGAAAGCTAAAAAAAAAAAAAGCCGGTATACATTGGGATTTCCCGATCTATACCAACTGTGAGTGACGGCATAAGCTGCAAATGCAGCTCTGCTCTCACTCTCAGACACCCGATTCCTGAATGAATGGTAACCGCTGATTCTCAGTGGTTACCAGCATTGTAGAACAGCATATAACTGGTCACGTACTGTGTAATTGAAGACCACTGGGTGGTCACAATTATCTGGTGAGTGTGCTAGTGTTTGTGCACCTGGAGGTGGATCACTGGTGATTAATTGACGAGGAATTGAAGCACAGAAGTCACGAGTGATTGTGGAACTTTATATGCAATGATTATTTGACTCACTGATGTAAAGAAAGTGAACACAAGGATTTCCTCACATTTAGTTTTAATCATATCAATTTTGGGAATATTGTTATATGGACTATATATACGTTGGAGTGAACATGTTGTATAATTGTCACTAAGTATATGCACTTAGAGTTTTATAATATTAGAGATAGCGCAGTGTCTTTTGTTTAATATAACGTACAGTGTACGTGGCCAGTCATTTGGGCACTTTGTGGCGGGACGCACAGTGTACGTCTCCCGTCACAAAGGGGTTAATATGCCCTGGTAAGAGATTTTTTATTTGTAAAAAAATAAAAGTGAGTATATGAGCTTGCAGATCTAATTGCCTACATTAATGCCCAATAGAACTTTCAGATTTAATCAGCTAAATACATTGCAGATGCACTCAATGAAAAGGTGTGCAGAGTTTTACAGTTTATTTGATTTTGTAAAGCACCCTTAGCTTCGTGTCGAAACACCTTCCAACATGCTGCAGAGGAGCCATGCCCTTTGTGTGAAAGTAGTGGTCTCTCTACAACGGTCTGACAACACCCCCTGCTGGGTCAGTCCTTGAGGTCTAAATCAGCACAGCTCATGCTCCCTCCTGATTGGATAGCTCTAGCTGTGACTCAGCAGGGGGCATACCAGACTTATGAAGAAAGACCACTGATTCCACACAGAGAGCAAGGCTCTTTATCTGCCATATGCTGGCAGGGGGTAGGTTTTTGAAGTAAGGATGTGGCTGCTTTCTGCTAAATATCAATTATAAGACTTTGCATACCTTTTGTTTTGTTGTACCTGGAATATACAGTATTTAAACTGAGAGTTCAGTTGGACTTTAGGGCACATTATAAATGTATTGTTAGTTTTTATAGCGGTTTGACCAGCCCCTTCACTGGCATGGAGTACAGTTAATGTGCTGTCATTTCCCATAGGAAAAAATTGTGGCTTTGCACTAAATGGTTGCAAGTTATGTAGTGTAACAGTTGATACTATAACATTTCACATACAGAGAGGCATTTATGTACAACACTTACTATTCTTTGTAGTTCACCCTTTACAGTAGTATGAAAGTGCATGTTCAGTATTGTCCAATGGGACCACTGTAAAGTGTTCCTTTTTAGCAATTTAAGTTGTTCAAGTTTCCTTTTTCTAAGAAGCAAACAACAATGCTGTCACTACTGTGAAAGCTTTCTTATTATTAGCTTGTTCTTTTGATTCTGACATGTAATTGGTTTTAGAGTAATTTCAGACACCATTGCTGGCATTTTCTGCTTGTGTATTGGTATGTTCATTGACTGAGCAACAATTTAATGTTGATTGAAACTTTCTACTTATTATAGGTTCATCGCACTAAAAGGTTCCCCACAACCTTCCATGCTGAGCTGGAAGCACTTGTGATGAGCTTTTCAGACCATATAATTTGGAAGTACAAGGATGCTCTTGAAGAGACAAAGAAAGCCAACCTGAGCATTGCCTGCTTTCTGAAGGTGACTGTATGAAGTGTGCTGCTTTTATGTGCAATCCTTTTTTTAAGCATCCAAAAAGTTTTTGACACTTGATGCATACAATATGATGGAGAGTGGAGACCTGCCTCCTGCTTCAATACTTTCATGAAACCTAGGATGAGTGTAAGTGCATAAATGGAGCCATATGATACTTTGCAGAGATCTGCTTTGCAAAATGCTTAGTAGTTAAGACACAGGGAGGAACTGTTATGTCTGTTAGCATCTATAGGTGCAGTGATAGGTAATAATATCACTGGAGGGCTCCATCACCCTTGTACACATTGGGGTCTATTTATAAACAATTTACAAAGACATTGGCCCTGTGAATCTCTGTGATTGTTTGTTCTGTGTAAATGAGTACACAAAGCGAAAATTTCAAGTTATAAGTCAAATGTATTTTCGAATGTCATCTTGTAATATAGCATTATGATCACTAGATGGAGCAGAGGAGCATAGAAAATAAATACTTATTTACTTCATCCAACATTGTATCCGCTATTAAAAAATATTTTCTTGTTTTCTAGCGCTGTTTTACGTTTATGGATCGTGGCTTTGTATTCAAGATGATCAGTAGTTGTATCAGTATGTTCAGCCCTGGAGATGGCAAGGTAGGAATAGCACTAATATATCTTTTTGTAATAGTAAATATATATACCATTAATTTTTTTCTGCTACATTCAACAATTCTCATCTATCTGAATCATTGTGAATAATTATACAATATCATGTTGTGGTTAATATGGTTTTGAGCTTTGTTCAGATAGATAGATAGATAGATAGATAGATAGATAGATAGATAGATAGATAGATAGATAGATAGATAATCTATCTACCCAATCACATTTCCCTGCTTACAACAAAATGCTTGCACCTTTTAGTCTCTATTATTTCATACGATATTTTTAATTCTACTACTGTCATTAGACCTTCCGATGTAAAGTGGTATAACCAGAATTTCCAGAGCCCAAAAAGTATGTTTTCTTTTCATGGAATCACTTCATTTCAATTTTTCCTGGTAGTGAAGCACCTCACTATCCCCACCCACCCCACCCTGGTGGGTGGGACTTATATAGGAGCTGGGTCCATATGCCCAGAATTAGAGAAGAGCTCCAGGGAAACAATGTATTAACCCTTGCAGTGGGGCTACCCCATCACTGCAAGGGTTGAATGCTTGTTTGTGTCTAGGTGCTTAAAAAAAGTTATACTCACCAGACCATTCGAGCCAGCTTGTTCTTATACCCACGTCTCAAGCTTATCTCCCCCTCTGCTGCAGCGGTCTAAGGATCCTGGTGTCATCACGCTCTATACATGCATAGACTGTGTGTAGACGTGAGGATGCCAAGGAGCAATCCATCTGTACAGTGGAGTAAGAGACACACTTCAGTGATCACAGAAGCAGGGAGCCGGCTCTGATGGTCTGGTGAGTATAACATTTTTTATTAGCACCTAGGCAAAAAACGAACACTTAACCCTTGCAGTACAGAGGTAGCCCCACTGCAAGGGTTAATTACATTTTTTTTCTGGAGTTCTTTTTTAACAAATTCAAGGCCCTAGTGGCAAAAAAAAAACATACAAGGATTTTCAAGTTCTAAAAGGTTATAACAAGTAACTTGTGTCTGATTTTAGGCAGGACTTGTAGCTTGAAACAACTGTTCCATATTGCCACACTAATCAGATTTGCACTGGCAAGTTACAGTCAAAGAATGAAAGACAGGACAAATACTGTATAAGGATGATAGAGCTGCACCAGTCATGTAAAATCAGTCATTAATCATTATTCAGTGTGACCCAGTGTTATTGCATTGCAGATTTTACATCAGTACAAGTTTGAGTTTCTCCAGGAGGTCTGCAGCCATGAGCACTTTATCCCACTCTGTTTACCAATAAGATCATCAAACATCCCAGGTAACGTAGAATATACATTCTGTATACAGATCATAAGTACACCCTTACAACTGTGCCGGACATAATTATTGAATAATTCCTTAATGAATACTGACTTTTTTTCCCTTTTTATAATCAAATGAAGATCCACTTACACCTTCTGACTCTACTAAAGTTTATCATGCTTTAGGTAAGTATTGATTAGTAGCTTTCTTTTTTGTTGTTTAATTTGAAAGCCTACAGAGGTTAACTGTTATATCAAATTCCTGGGATGTTTAGTGTGGTCATATGATGGCAGTATATGCACGTGTGCTCCTGTTGTCCTCTGGAGATATCTCTAGAAAAAAACTCCCCCGCACTGCAAGGGTTAACTGCTCATTAATGTCTAGGGGACCTGAGTTATGACTTTTACTTACCTGATCCCGTAGGCAGCTGCCCCCCACCTCCCCTATGCTCTTGCCGTCGCTGGCCCACTGATGTCATCATGGACAATGCAGGGCCCACAGCCGGGACACATGCCAAGGGACAGTCCACAAGCAGGAGCATGGGAGGGACTAGGTGAGTGCTGACTGGGGATCAGGTAACTAATTTTTTTACACAGGTCCCTAGACATAAACAAGCAGTCAACCCTTGCAGTGTATGATAGCTTTGCAAGGAGAATTTTTTAATTTCTTCGGGAATAGGTTTTAAGCTCAGTGCCAAGTACACATTCAGTGTAATAGCAGTGAACATAAAGCCCCTCGCTCCTCTCATTATCTCCATAGATATAGACCTAGATATAAACAACTAAAGTATTCTTTGTACTTTTTGATAAAGACATGCCAGAGTACACCTTGACTGATGACTTCTGCCGGAAGCATTTCCTGATTGGGATACTTCTCAGAGAAGTTGGTCTGGCATTACAAGAAGACCAGGATATCCGCCACCTTGCCCTCACAGCACTGAAGAACATTATGGCCAAGCACTCGTTTGACAATAGATACTCTGATAAGGTATTTCCATCTTGAAGTTCTCTTTGTCCTAGGTGACTCTTCATTGTCACAGACCATCATAATGGCATATGCATAAACACTATTCTGTTTTATTATTCATTGTAAAACAGCACAATACTATAAAAATATAGCATATTTAGATTGTGTTCAATGTTTATACAGGTATACCTTTTTATTTGTTTGTTTCAGGAAAAGCAGGCCCAGATAGCTGTTTTATACTTACCCCTCTATGGCCTTCTCTTGGATAATATGCCTCGTATATTTATGAAGGATTTTTTCCCATTTACAGTGAATACATCCAACCAGGTAAGATGAGAAAGTAAATATGCCAAACTGATGCAAAATAAGTAAGTTTCTTAAATGGGCTTTTACCATGATAAACAAACTGATTAGCTGTAGCTATTCCATGCTAGAAGACTCTACTCCAGGGGTAGCCAAACTCCGGCCCTCCAGCTGTGGTGGAACTACAAATCCCATGATGCATCTCTCTCCGGGAGTCATGTATGTAGCTGTGAGAATCTTGCAATGCCTCATGGGATTTGTAGTTCCACCAGAGCTGGAGGGCCGGAGTTTGGCTACCCCTGCTCTACTCATTAGGGTGTTCCTCCCAATTATGCAGCCCATGGGGTACCACAGCCTTAAAGTGTACAGTACTTCCACTTTTACAGTCAATTTTGAGAAAACATCACTATATCTTTGTTATGTGTTCCCATTCACACAGCATACAAAAAAATAATTAAAAGAAAATATGTCTTACCTTGTGTTATTGTTGTTTTGTTGCAGCAGGTCAAATGACTGAATCCAAGTTTTTCTGAGCACCTTCACAGTGGCCTGTCTTTATAGAAAGACTGAGAACAAGCATGTGGGAAATGTCTTTCTTTAATTAACATACACTGCCGGATCAAGGGCTGTACCCTTTAACCCCTTTGTTAAAACAGGCAGTAGTCAAATCTACTTCACAAATTATAATGAAATCAGCCAGCACAGTACGGATAGGGTTTAACCCCTCACAGCCCCTCTTAACATTACAAAGCAGGAGAAGCCAAATAGCAAGTAAAAAGCAGTTTAAAGAGAAAACAACATGCTTTACTTCTTTTTTTTTTTATGTGCATGGGAATATGTAACAAATATAAAATAGGTGATATTCCAGTTTGCCAGCAAAAGTAAAATGCACTTTAAACACTGGGAGATTGTGGGATCTAATAATATTCAAAGGGTCATGAAGGCAGGCCATGCCGCAATTGTGTCCTGTCTTAATTATAATGTGGTCTGCATTCTCAAACATATGATTGGGAACGAAGTAGAGGTTAGAATAAAAGTTTCAAAAACATTTTCATGTATAATTCTCTATATCTCCCTATAGCTTAATTTGTTCAAAGCAGAGTGAAACCTAAAATGTATGGTATGATGGAACACAGACAAAATAACCTGATAGAGGTTGTAACCTTTCCTTATTTTATCCAAAACAAAAAAATATGAACTGTACATACACTTTAAAGTTTAGGTCTACTTTTAAAAACAACAGCGCCATTAGAGTAGAAGGGTGTGGGGGTCTTATGGTGTCATAGGAAACAGCAAGGTGGTTGGGGTCCAGTTCTGGATCATGTATTTCGTGGCCATGGACTGAGATGTTGTCCTTATCAGGATGAATACTCTACTGACCCCAGCACCAACAATGCATGTACAGGTCTTTTAGGCCACTTTACAACAAACACATTAAAAAAGTGGCAGCACTTATAACTGTGACAAAGCTGGAATTTCCACTTAAATAAAGAAGTATACATTGGTCATACCTTTTTTTATATATATGAGTAAAACATGCTCCTAGCAAAAAAAAAAAAGAACTCATAAATACTGTATCTTATGCGTCTGCATTTTTTTTAAAACACTGTTTAAAAATAGAAATATTCCATCCCGGGTTTTATATATATAAAACAGCTTCACAGCCTGGAATACAATGCAGCATTTTATAAATTTGTTGCAGACACCATTTTCCAGAATCTATAATAAATGTAGAATGCATCTATTTTTTATTGAGTATGGTGCCTGTTTTCTCTGAATATACTAAATAATCCAACATATGCTTTATAGAAATCTGCTTTAACACACACTACAACCAAGAGAATGCCGACACCATGTATTTTTTATTGAATTGCTAAACTTCTGGATTAGTCTCCTGGCTCGACGCTTATGTATAATACATGCAGAAATTGTAGTGTTAATAAAATGGAACTAGGTAAGCAGTATAGAGGAGTTATTGGACAGATGAGCTTATAATTTACCTTTTGTCACAGCTCGATGCAAAAGGCTGTGACTTTTACATACATACCAGTCTGACATTTTAATGTTTTCCTTTTAAAAAATCTCTTTTTACTACATTTTATTCTTCAGTATTGCCTTTTGCCCAGAACCCTGTAGTTTAGGAATGAAATCTGTTTAGATTTCAGGGGCAGCAAGGGCACTGGTATTCATTTAAAATAAATGTTGTGGTACCCCTTAGAGATTTATTCACTTTTAACACTAGACTACTGACTGTTTGGGTGAATCTGAATAAAGACACTAGAATCGGTAAAGAATGGAAAAAAGGGATGAAAAAAATACCCATATATCAGTCTTTCCCGATCTGATTGTTTAGAGTGCCATTGAATAAAAGGTAGCTCATCTTCAATGGTTGTACATGGGGTACTATGACAACCAGACAGTATGCTCATAGATTGAGTAAACCTGTTGTCATACCACTGATGACAAACAGCTTTATTTGCCACAAGACAATGCCTAGTGCAGCCATCCTTACAAAAATCCTGGGTGCAAGCAAGGCAATAGACTGGTTCATCAGGATACCTATTTTGTCCCCAGTTAAGCAAATTTAGTATTATTGACAGGGTCATTACTGCAAGTGTAGCCCGGGCTCCATGTATTGAAAACTGACTGTTCAAGTGATCCTGGAAAATTTTTACTCATCCAGTCATGAAATCTTTTTATACCTGACTGAATAAAATAATTTTCCCTGTAATAGGAGTACAATGCAGCCATTTAAATATATTTTGCCCTCAGTAATTCAAAACTGGGAAACATTTTGGGCAAAGTAAGCCAATTACATGAGGAAGGGCTAACTCGGTCTATAACATTGTGCAGTTTTGGATCCCTGATAAGGGAAACATGGGATAATCCTAGAAAGGTTGTTGGACTGATATTATGGAACTAAGCAAATTGAGGTTGGAACCCCTGACCACTTGGTGAGTTACTACCGATTAATAATAGCACATGTTGCCTGGCCACATTGTTTGCCATTCTGTAAATGGGGGTCATACTGTATGTCTTATTGATAATAACCACACATGGTGATGAAAAGTTTTTGAAATTAATTTAATGTATGATTGTTTATCCTGGGTACTATATATGCATGTCTTGAAAACTTTAATTAAAATGTGTTGCAGTTTCAATTTCAAGCATTCTTCCATGGAATTATTCATATTTATAATTTAGAGAAGCCTATAATGGGCTGATATTTGAAGGTTTGGTGGTGTTATAGGTTGAACTTGATGGACATGTGTCTTTTTTCATCCTGACTAACTATGTAACTATGGAAGCCAGTCAATTGGCAGCTTACTATTTACTTATACCACAAGCAAGCTATCCCTGCCAGGGCACTTTTTCTGTTGCCTTTACATGGGATTAAGAAAAAAATGGAGTATTAAGTGGAAAGAGTGGCTTTTCCAGAGTATGAAGGAACACAGATAGGTGTAGCTGGAAAGAGATCTTCTGCTGGAGTTTGTTAAAGTGGACCTAGAACTAAACAACCTAATCCTTTAGATTGTGTGAGCCCTGCCAGTTGTAAATTATATAGCACTTACAGTAGGCAATCTGCAGCTGATCTTTTGCCCAGGGCTACTTTGTAATCCATTATACAACATGTCTGCAGAACAGAACTTCCTGTTCCTAAACACCATCCCCCTGTAGACACCATCAATGTATTTCAGTAACCCAAAGCAGGATTGGGCAGGATATGCATATCAAACTCCTGGTAGGCTTCTGTGAGGCTAAAAGAGTGTGCATAGGCACTGTCACACATGTGGATATGTTCTGCTACATATAATCAATGATTTTATCTTAAAGGTAAATTTTTTAGCTGATTTGCTTTGCCACATTAAACTGTACTAATAAAACCCTGTTAGATAACCAGACTTTAGATTTTAAGTATAGCTCTACTTAAGAGTTAAAAGAAGTTGGTGAATTATCAATGCTGCCTGCATTCCGCTAACTGTGAAATATCAGTATTAGATGAGCTTATCTTTTAAAGTGAAAGGGCTCTGCAACAGGCTGCTGCAAAAGTTAAAGAGTATAGACTATTATCAATGATTTATGTGGTAAAATATCAATTATCCTGCGATTCCTGGTTTTGTAGCCTAAACCGAGAGCTGTGAAGGTGCTGACCAATTGTCTAAATCATATGTGTTCTCTCCCATACAGGGCTCACGAGATGACCTAAGCACTGCAACTGCCTCACAAAGTCAGTCTGCCATAAAACATGCCATATCTGCAGATACCTCATTTTCTAAAGATGTATTAAATTCCATAGCAGGTAATGTAAAAGCTTTGGTGGCCAGAAAGGACTCCTTAAAAAGTACACAGTTAATGCTTTCAAGGAACATTTATGGTACAGTCATCCATTGTAGGGGCTTCATTCAAAGGAGACATATTTCTTTCTACATCTTAATTGGAAATGAAATTATATATCAGATTAAGTATTGGGATACTGTGATACGATTCTTTTGCTTATACAGCTGAATGAAAGTGATGAAACTTGAGTGCTTCTAGTGATTGCAGAGTTCTTGCTCCTAGATGTAAAGTGAATGCTAATAACATTTGGGAGGTATTGGCTCCACTGTAAAAAGCTTATCTAGGCTTTCCTTGGAGGATTTTTTGTAAAAGGTTCTTACATTGAAAGAGTCTATGTTCTTTTACAGGGGATTAGAAAGTTTAAATGTGATAGTTGGTTCTAGTCAATGCAGTTCTTATATCAAACAGTTAATAGATGAAGCTGTTATATTGAATCCTGGAGTCCTGTATATCTACATGTACAGTATATAGATTGATGAAATAAGGCAAAAAAAGCATTCCAAAAATGGTGTAAGACCATAAGAACAATTCATACTAAGACATACTAAGAAAAACTAATGGAGGAACAAAGTTGAACTATAACTAAAATATTTATACATGTAGACAGTTCAATAAGGTGTAGAGTAGCTGCACCCTGAACAGATCTCTCTGTAGGAAACTTGTGTATTATAATATTTGGATAACTCACTTAGTGTGAAGTCATTTTTTGGTTGGCTATGGGGAAGAAAATAGGGCTGGTAATGATTAAAATTTTTGTGTTCGATTAATCGAAATTTTTTTTAATCGATTCATTGATTAATTTTGATTAATTATAATGCACATACAGATCCAACTACATTGGCCTATACACATAAAGCACAGCAATGAAGTAATAAAATTAATTAGGATCACACTAATCCAGCACGTTATTAATCTCACGTGGGGCAACTCAGAATAATAACGTGCTGGATTAGTGTGATCCTAGTTCATTGTATGACTTCATTGCTGTGCTGTATGTGTATAGGCCAATGCCTTGGCTGGCTCTCGTACAGAGTTTCAAAAAAAATTAATCAATCCAAAAAATTTTAATCGATCAAAAAGATTAACGATTAATCGAGAAATTAATCGTTAATTTGCACAGCCCTAGAAGAAAAGATTGTGATCATTTAACTAAAAGAGTACTTTAGTAACTGCTTGGAGCCAACAACCAACATCAAACATACCTTGGATAAGCACAAATCTGTCCTAGTGCAAAGTTTGTTTAAAATTGCCGGCACTCTGTTTTCATCCACTATCGGTCTTTGCAGTGTCTGCATTGAACTGTACCTGGTGACTTACTTATTCCATATTCAAATGTATCACTGTACCTTTTTGTTCACCTGCATATGTGTGTTCACCTGTGACTTTCTCATTTGTGCAGTTTATGTGTTCGTGCTGTCCTCTCATCTCATCACTTTGCTCCTGCAGCCTTCTCATCCATTGCCATCACTGCAGGAAACAATGCAGACTCCCGGGCATCACTGGCCAGCCTGGAATCCATCCCAAGTACCAATGAAAAAAGTGAGAAGACTGACAACTGTGAAAAGGTATGGATAGAGGGCTCAGAGTTCAGAGATAGAACACTGACCTATGTGAACTAGTTTATCATGCTTTTCCTATTTTATGCCCGCTCATTATGAACCACAAATCCATAAAAGCATAATGCTTTAAGAAGGGATTTCCATTCCTATATGCTTTAACTAATATTAACAACTAATAATATTTTTTGGAAACAGCCGCCTTTGGGAATCAGGAAGGTGTTTTTTCCCTACTAGAGCAAATTGCATCACACTTAAGGTTTTTTTTTTTTCTTTTTTCTCTAGATCAATTTCAAGTTTAAAACACAACTACATCCAAAACATTTTTGGGGTTATTCACAAAGCTGCCAAAGGCAGCCCAGTGAATAACCCAGCCAAAGTGAAATGAGCCCAATGCTGTTCGGCTATTCACTCCATCTCAGTATGGCTGATTTCAGGCATACATCGGCTGCACTTCAGTGAGCCGAACATGCTCTGCATGCCGAAAGCAGCCGAGTGAATAACCCACCCGAAGTAAAGTGAGCCGAAGACTGTTCGGCTATTCACTTCAGGCTTGTACAGCTGATTTCAGCCATACTTGCAGCCGTACATGCTCTGCATGTTCAGCTGAGCTGAAGTGCAATAAGATTTAGATCCAGATGTTGGATCGGCTGAGCCGAAGCTCTGGCAGCTCACTCGCTGCCTTTCGCCCCTATTCACATAGGGGCTAAACAGCAGTGAGTGAATAGCCTAATGCATTCGGCTGGGCTGTTCTGCTTGCTACTTCCGTGGTACCAAGCAGAATAGAAAATCAATGACAATAGTGGGGGTAAAAAAAAAAGGTTGAAAATGTTTTTAAAATTTAAATAAAAAGTAAATTGAAAAATAAATAAAGATTTTTTTAAAAAGAAAATGATGCTCTACATTTGTCTATTATAGTTACGGATCTTGGGACCGGCAGTAACAATTAATAAAGGGTTAATACTAGTGGGGTTGTGCCTCTGGAGAATCTTCACTTTTTTGTACATATTGCCCTTAACCCTTTTATTGCCATAGACGTAAGTACTAAGCTCATGGCAGCAGGGAGCTGTAATCACACTCCTGGCTGATGTAGCAGGTGGGCCATCTCTCTGCTTTTATGTAGAAGTGATTCAGCCGGCTGCAAACTGCCCGGTTACTTCTATACCCCTTTCCCCCGCAGATGCACTCACTGATCTACCACCTGCTGAATAAACCTGGTAGTAATGGTGATTTTCTCACTTCCGGGTTCTTAGCTGTCATTCCTTGGCCACAGATGCCAGGGAAGAAGCTGCCCATAGACTAACATTGGGCTTCCGATCAGATCCGCCTGAAAAACTGACAGCTGGACCCGATCGGACTGCCAGTGTAAAAGGGGACCTAAAGAAGATTGAACAATCAGATTGTAACACATGCAACTAGTCTTACATACACCAACTATTGTAGCACCATTTAGAGTTGGCAGATTTCCAGCCAGGGCTGTACATAGCCATTTTCGTATATGTTACATCAGACTGTAATAGATCATGTTCCACTGGGGAAATTACATATTATTATTGTTAGATATGTTAATGAGATTTTCCTGCTTATTATCTTTTTTATTTTCTTTTATTCTGTGAAAAAATAATACCAGCATTAAAGTAAATACTGGTAAAATGAAGTCTGTTTCTTAATTGTACAGATTGCAAGACCTTTGTCTCTAATTGGATCTTCACTTCGATTTGACAAGCTGGACCACTCTGAAACCAAATGTCTGTTAATGTGTTTCCTGCATATTATGAAAATGATATCAGAAGGTAATCAATAAAGCTTGTTGTCTGCTGCTGACTATGCAATGTCATGTATGCCTGAAAGTAATGGCTGCACTCTATTTTACAGATACATTGATCTCGTACTGGCAGCGGGCTCCAAACACTGAGATCTATGACTTTTTTAGCATTCTGGAGTAAGTTAATTTTACTCCTTTTTTTTCAATGTATTATAAAATGACATGAATAAGAACATACGCTACAAAGCACAGTTGATACATGAGTATTTACTACGTGGGAAATGTTGCTGTGTGGTGGCACCATTTATAAATAAATGTTAATTGAGTTACAGATTTAAATTTCCACCCCCTGGTTGTACAAAGGGAGCCCACTTTTTAGTATTGATATTAGTGATAATCAAAGTGGGGAAATACTGGACAAACTCATCAAACTAATTTATTTATTTTATTTCCAGAGTATGCCTCCAAAACTTCAAATACTTGGGAAAAAGAAATATAATAAGGTAGGAATTCAATCTTGTAGCATCTAGCTATTATTGACTCTACAACTCAACACTGCAGTGAATATTTATTAGTTGGGTGGGTGTTGAATGTACATTACCATGACCTTATCTGCCCATTAACATGATCATTCAGCCCAAACACTATATATAGATGGCATCATAGCATAACAGAATTTGAGTTTGGATAAATTGCAAATACTTGATGTATTGGTAGTCATCAATATAATGGCGTTGATTCACTTAAGGAGTAGAGACTGTTTACTTTGCAAAATAATTGATTATTGAGCTTAGGTTATATGGTAAAACTGTTCACTGTGAAAATTCAGTCATGTAAAAGCTAATTAACCCCATAAGAACCCTTTTGCTGCCTTTTTGTAGTTTTTTTGCACACATGATATAATCCACATTTTAGGCCTGAAAATTACTTCAACCGCCCACAATATTATATATTTTCTGAAAGCCAACACCCTGTTTAATAAAATGGTGGCGGTTGCAAATTTTTATGCTGCACAATATTGGCGCAAATCTTTATCACCTCTTTATTAAACCAAAAATGTAGTGGAAAATGAACTTGTTAATTTCAGTGCCCCAAAACACAATAAAATACCCATTTTTTTGTAAAATATAAAGGATGAGATTACGATGAGTAAATAGATACCCAACATGCCCAGGTTAAAAATTGCGTGCATCAGTGAAACAAAAAATTTTAGTACCCCAAAAAGTCCATAGACAATGATTTAAAAGCCCCTACAGGTCATCAGTTTAGAGATACATGTAAATATTGGTCCTAGAATTATTGCTCACACTCTGGCGTGCGCGGCAATACCCAACATGTGTATCGCGATCAACGTTTTCGTAGTAGGTGCACCCGATGCGTGTTTAAGTGAATACGCGCACCCTAGCGGGGTGGGGGGCATTTTTGTTATTATTTTTACATGTATTTAATATTATTTTTTTTAACTAGTTTTCTTTCTTTTTTTTTTACTTTATTTTATTTGCTATCACATAGGGGGGGTACAAGCCCCCTATGTGATAGCATATTGGCGGTGACACATCCTTTTTAAGTAATTCAAGTAGATCCCATCGCACTCCTGACCTGACCTGTGCTATGCGATGTGACAATTCTTTTGTTAAAAAAGAACATTGACTGAAATTCTCATTGGAGTGAGAGTTACTTTTCTACTACTGTACGTGATACATCCTTTTTAAGGTGACACTAGGGGTCCAAAAGACCCCTAGTGTCACCTTTCCACTTTAAATAAGCTATTGAAGTGCAGATCGCACTTCAATAGCTTATTGCTCGACTTTAGTAGCCGAGCACTGACAGCTCAGGGACCGGAAATGATGTCATTGCTCCACATTCCATAGAGCATGGAGGAGATTGGTGAATGGAAGTTCACTGCTCTCCTCCCCAGCTTCCTGCCGGCACCCGACATGCCGGTACTGGGCCCGCAGGAGGGGCAGTGGAGCCCTGGAAACACGGCGGGGGTGTTGGGGGGGACAGACACTTTACCATCCCGTAGAAGCGATCTGGCGGCAGCTGAGCCGCTGAATCGATTCTATTGTAAAGCTAACAGCCGGCTTTACAATTGTAAACCTAGTCCTGTTTGGTTTATATGGGTCTGGTGCCAATGACGTACTATGTACGTCAGTGGACGCAAAGGGGTTAAAAAACAGGATTTTGTTTTGCACATGATTGGATGATTGAAGTAAACCTTTACCTTGCTTACTAAGCTAAGTGCACTTTGTAAAGTGAGCAGTCTCTACCTCTTTAGGTAAATTAGCTGCATTGAATAAGTTATTATTCACTGTATTATTTACATCTTTTTATAAATATAACTAAAACAAACTATTCATATTTGGAGCAAAAGAGTTGTAATTTGATGGTTATATCTCATAAAACACCCAATGTTCTCTTTGTAATAAAATAAGGGGTCACTACTTTTTTGCCGTTGATTTGCCTTAAAAATACTCCAAGCTGATATATGACACAGCAGCAATGTAATGAGGGTTTGTGTCACTGTGTCAATACATGGTGGTGTCACAAAAACGGGGTTTTTATATGGGATTAACACCCCCCAGCCAAATCTAATCATTATGCTAAGACTTCTTATTTCAAATTAATTTACACTTACAGGGTAGTCTACGCCCAATCAGTAAATTAGTAGCTTCGTTAAAGAAGAACTCCGGGCCGAAATAATCTTAAGTGCTCATTTTCGTCTAAGGACAAAAATAACAAAGATATACTCATCTGTACCTCGAAGCCGGCTAGCTGTTAGACAGGTCCCTGGAACCTCCCTCTACCTCCATTCCAGCAATGGAATGTCCCTCGGTGTCCTCACATTCAATACAGTGTGATGATTCACAGGACCTTAGCCCACTGGAGCAGAGGGGAGAGAGGCTGCAGGGACTGGTCTAGCAGCCAACGGCAATAGCCTCACTACAAGGGTTACAATTATTTTAGTTCTTCTGTATGTTTCTTATTCCATTAAAAACTGTCAGTTCGCAATTATTCCCAAGCTGTGGATTTTCATATGATTGTATTTTGTTGGCAATAACTTAAATGTTTGTAACATAGCATGACATGGCCTTTTCTATCCATGTGTATCTGCACAGGAAAATTACTGCTGCTGTTAAACTTGCCCAAACAACTCTGAACAATGGGACACTGAAGGGCTCCTCTTCCCAGGCTGGTCTCCTGCCACAGTGGTATGTATTTCATTTTTAATGTTTTTACCAACATGTCTAATATACTTAAACATACATAGTCATACTTGAACTTTGCATGCAATATAGTTCAGTACAGCCCTTGTGTTCTAAAGGAATTTATATTCCACAACTAGTCAGACTTTCTAGGTCAAGGGTAGACAAACTCTGGCCCTCCCGCTGTATTGCAACTACTCTGACAGCCACATGCATGACTTCCAGAGGCAGATGCTTGGTGGGATTTATAATTTCACTACAGCTGGAGGGTTGGAGTTCACCTACCCCTACACTAAGTGCTAGTAGCCTGTTGTAAGGTTTGGTTTTTTTTTTTCTCTTTTAAAGTCCCTAAATGTGATTTTGGACTAGTACCACCCACTTCTGCCCTGTCTCAGCCTACTGCCTACTTTCCTAAAACACTTTGAAGCATAAGAGGGAGGTTGCAGAATCTTATGATAAACACCAAATGACATGATGTTGTCAGGGTTACAAGAAAGCAGCATTTAATTTTTGGTCGTTTTAGGCTTTGCTCACACCGAATGTGGTGTGTTCCAAAGTGGTAGCTGCTAAATTGCACCGCAATCGCTCATGAAACTTACCCCTGCGTTCTGAGGTGGGAGGGGGCATGACAGTGGATTTAATTCAATGGCACCGCTTCCACGCCCCCCGCCCGCAGTGCGATCAGATGCGTGGCAAAACATTGCCTGCGTTCCGTTCCACTGCAAACGCAAAAAATAGGGCTTGCTCTATTTTTTGCATTTGCAGTGGAACGGAATGCAGGCAACGTTTTGCCACGCGTCCGATCGCACTACGGGCAAGGAGGCGTGGAAGCGGTGCCATTGAATTCCATGCATCGGCACGACCCCTCCCGCCCTAGAACACAAGGGGAAGATTCATGAGCGATTGCAGTGCATTCCAGCAGCTACAGCTTGGGAACGCAGCGCTTTCGGTGTGAACAAGCCCCAGTTGTTGGTTGAAACTTAGAAAATGTTATCACCTTTATATTAAAAAATGGCGCATGTGGCAGTTGTGTATTTCATATTTTAATATCTTTGTATTCTAATGAGTATCAGACCATGCACCACACCACCGTAAACACATTTTTAATATCTGATTTGATGTTATGATTTGCAGCATATTATTGTAATATTACTGTTTTACAAAACCCTATAATGTAAAATGCTTTAACATGTTATGTGTGTCTGTCAGAGATGAATACAACATATAACGGAGCCCATCCGTTCCCACAAAGTCGTCTATGAACACCTGCTTTTAGGATCCTGTTCCCACATTGTAAAACAAGCTCTTGGCAGGAAGACAAAGTATATTTTACACAGTGACACTTTAGTGTGCTGTATCCAAGGAAAGCAAACATGTATTTGCACAGCTGTAATATCTACATTGTTGCACTTTTTTCCTAAATATTACAATGAGCACAGTAGCTGTGACCATTAGATTCTATCATTGGTCTCATCGCTTCTCTAAAAAATATACATTATAAACTATTCTAAAAAGTTTCTCTGAATCTGATGACATGATGGTGGATTGTTCATTTACAGAAACATCTAAATGAGTCATAGAGACAGCTATGTTTTCCAGTTACATGACTTTTCCACATTTACTTTGCCTACAATATGTTCTTGTACTAAGACTAGGAAGCTATAAAGTGACACTAAATTCAAGAGTTAAATCTTAAAAATGCATTCAAGTACCTTAACTATTAACACAAATGTTTCTTATGTGTACTGTATATCACTCAGCTGCACTGGCGACTCTAGGAACAATACAGTATATAGGGGGCACATAAGATACCACAGTCAAATCTGGGGGGGCACTAATAATTTTCATTGCATGTCGCAACCGCTGGGCGCCGAGAGCTGATTTAATTGCGGATGGCATCTGCGCCCTGCGGTTGCGACATGTAGTCCAACGCCGCCCACAATCCTGAATACCGCAACCACGGACGCCATCCGCAATTAAATCAGCTCTCAGCTCCCCGTAGGTGCGGAATACAGCAGGGGCTGACTGGCAACTTTTAGCCCAGGGGACAAGTAAAACCCAGAGGCCTATGGTGCAGCAACTGCCTCCCCTCCCGCTCTACCTCTTCCCTGCCTTCTCCCCGCCCCTGCCTGCCACTTTTGCCATCCATGTAACGGTAGTGTGAATGGTCGGGTGATGTGAGGACTCCTAGTAAGCCCATGAAAGGGGTGACTGGCTAGGGGATGGTACTCTCCTCCCACTGGGCTCCCTACATGGCTACATGGTTCTGGCCTTACTTCGCTCTATGTCTGGTACATAGGCACTCTCGCCCAATGTAGACCGCCGCTGGCTGTCCATGCTTCTGGGCTGTGAGAGGAAAGTGGGAGGGGCCAGACAGTGTCAAAATCAGTGTTCTATAATGTTTCTCAATCCTATACATTTTCTCAACTGTGTCACTTCTAGTGGGGCTGAGTCTTCCGAATCAGGTGTTTTCATTACCCCCTTTCTTCATGACATGCACACCTGTAGGGGACCCGGTAGAGAAATTAATGGGTTGAAGAAAATTATAGCACACTGGTAGTGGAGGGATGCCTCATCAGTGCTGTGCGCGTGTACGACTGCTGTGACCCTGGTATTTCTGCCACTAACTCTAAGCTGTAGAGGGACTACAAATCTCAGCAACACATACAGCAATGTAGAATAATATCACCAGCTATAGAGGACTAAAAATCTCAGAAATACATTATACAACACAATGCAGAATTCCATTAGCTATAGAGAACTACAATTCCAACCAATATATTATACCCCAATGTAGAATAATACCAACAACTATAGAGGACTATAAATCCCAGCAATACTTTATACAGCAATGAAAAAAAAAAAACACCAGCTATAGAGAACTACAACTTTTTTTTGTATGTGTGTTCGCAGCGGCTGGGGCCTTTAATTTTATGGGGGATTTTTCATTTTAGTTTATTTAACTTTTTATTTTTTTATATTTTTTTGTATTTTTTATATTTTTACTTTTTTTTT